TCCTTTAAGCTACATGTAAATATTTGACAAAAGAATAATTTTGCGTCTATCATAAAGAAAGGATCAATTTAAAGCCAATTTCCTTTTGTGCGTGAGGGATAAGTGACTAGATGCCCACATGCGTATCAATACAGCATGATTTATTCAGAAAGAGCCCACTGCAGTGAGAAGCCTGCTAATTTGGCATGCGCGCTCAGGGAAGGCAAAGGGGTTAAGGGAAAGGCAGAAAGTCAGGCACTTAAACACTGCTCGGTCAGTAGTGGACAGGCTTAATCCCAAACGAGTATCGCCACAGACCAATCAAAAGAGGGCATGTAGCAGAGACTATGGACGAGTCAGAGCCATGGTAACGCTGTGAGGCTGTTGTTGAGTGATTAGACTCCAGAGGCTGAAAAACAGTGTCTGTTGAAAGGGAGCAGCCGGGGCTAAAGAGTCCATGCTGCATCCTCCATCAGTCTCAAGGCCAGCTCAGAGGGCTAAAAACAAGAGGCGGCAGGAGAGGAGAGGAAGTTCCTAAAAGCTCAGGCTGAGAATATCTGCCCTTTTCACAAAAATCCATAAAGAGCAATTACGCTAAGTACAGGAGTAATACAAAATCCACTATTTGAGATTTAGACATTAAATTAGCAAAAGGTTACGCAAAGGTTACAGAAAAATGCACAATGCAAAATCTGAATGGAAAACCAGTGAAGCACAAAAGCAGAGAGGATGAGCCTCTTTACTGTTGGATTTATCAAATTTTCACACAACATTTATCTTTATTTCGAAAGTCAATTTGAGTTGCGTGGAAGGAAGAGGCTCTTGAATCTGTGTTTGAAGAGATCGTGTGGCAAAACATCACATGGTACACAATAGATTGGAAAAAAGACACCAAATTCCTAATACATTGGCATTCTTCCATAGCAACCTAGACAAAAACCTCATAAATTTTCCACAAAAGTCCTAGCATCCAATGAAACAAGTTTTAGTTTTAATGAGTCAAAAGGAGTCCAATTCTAATATGATGTAATAATAGCTGAAAAAACCCCAAAAACAATTATCTTGGTCACATTTGAACATTTGAGAGCCATTTCTCACTTCGAGGACAGCAATTCCTTCGTAAACTGCGAATATTACGATACAATTGAGCCCTCCGCACTCTACACACAAGGTCAGTCCGCAAACCTTGAATTCTGTTTTGAAATAGTGGCATTTGCTCAGTGCGATGGCTCTCTCGCACTCACCGGTACAAAAGCCTAATTGTCTAGAACTAAGTGGAAAATCCAGTGGGCGTCAGTGAAGAAAAGAAAAATGACTGACTCTGTGGGGAATCCTGACATCACACAAACAGCGTGCCACCCGTAGAGTGCTGCGAGAGCCTAGTAAATAATGTCATCGGGCTGGGTGGCATTTTGAGCTATCTGCAGAATGAGAGCCCATGCAGCCAAGTAAAAGTGTCTCTATCAAAAAGGCTATTTGGTTTGGAACAACACTGTCAAAAGTGTATTGTGTTTTGACTTTGCAAAATCATGTAACCACTTTTGGCTTCTGTTAAAAGACCTGGTGCAATAATGGGAAGACAGATATGAAACAATGTTTGGCTCTGGGGAGCTTATATACAAATGAATGCAACTGAGTGAAAGGAACAATAGTTGTAAATGCAGGGTGGCTCAGTGGTTAAATGCTTCACAGCAAGTTCCATTCAACCTCCAGATGGGACATTACTGTGTGGAGTTTCCTCCTGGTGCTTCGATTTTCTCTATCACTAAATACAAAACATGGTCAAAAGGTCCAGCGTAGGCCCTGAAAGGTAACACTGAGGGAAAGATAAGAGCTTTGGGACTCTTGAAATGTGGTATATAAACAAAGATTACTACTTGCTGACAATTATCCATCTATCAAAATATGTATAACTCATAATGGAACAGTGATGATTATTACATTACATTATCAAGTAACAGGTTAATTCAATAACTTCCAATTTTATGTAATGGTTCGCCAATGTATCTTTTTTTATAATGCAGATTAATTAATGCTTCTATTTTTTTGTGTATGCTGTGTAATATCATAGTGCAAACATGTGCCAATGGATTAAAACAATGTTGGTATTCCACCACTTGGTATGCATGTTTTCCTTATTGTACATTAAAGAGGGTATAACACACCCACATGCACCATTTAAAGATGTATTTTAGGTATAATTTTGTGCCCGTTGAATCCTGAATTGCAAGATCAAATACAACAATGTAGTTGATGTAGTAGTATTCTGAATATAGTTACCTGAACCAATATCCTGACTGTCTCCTTAGTGCATGTATTCTGGGACTCCCCAACACTGTCCAACTATATTAGACTTTATTCATCTATTCTACGCAGACAGACTAATTTAAAATCTTGTGTTGTTATTCCAACATTCAATGAGCTTCACAGACTTCAGCCACATTACTGCATTAACCAGATATTACACAGCTAATGTCGCCTCATATTCGCACAGTGGGACACTTCTTGCTGCAAGCTGCCACACGCAGTTGGGCACAGCACTTCCATAACAAGCCCGTCCATCTTGTTTTTATAATGAGGCAGATGTAGCTGCAGTTTACATGAGAACATTGGGTTAATTTATTCGCTCGGAGTTGTGGAAGATGGTGAGCAGCAGAAATCTGGCCTTCCACAGGTGGAGTTTCATCAGCCAGTCTGTTTCATTCTGTCCCCCTGCTCTTCCCTCTCACCTCTCGTGTCTAAAACCTCTCCCAATTAAGAAAGAAGGTTCGAGTTGGTGTAGGATAGTTCCTTTGATGCAAACATGCTCAGGGATGCGTGGAGCGGTGTGGATACATCTGTGCACTGAATGTCAATTGAAGGAGTTGAGACAATTTCGTGATGACAAAAAAATTAATAAGTGAGTTTGTTTCTCTATATTCATTGCTCTGACAGCCTTTTAGCCAAGCTTAAATTGTGCAGGACTTGCTACAAATGACTCAGGATCATGCTTACTCATAATGACAAAGAGCAAAGCATCCATTTGTGACACGGCAACAATAATATCCAATAATATCCAATCATTGAAATAGATATTGTAAAACTCAAAACACATGGATTTGAATTCCCGACACCCTGTCCCCTGGAATTTTTGCACCTTTGGAAGGAAGTTATTCCGGCATTTTTTTTTAAATCTGCTCCAACACATCGGAACAAACACACGGAAAAAATCATTTGAAATTTTCATAGCAATGCTGTGGAATCACGAGGAGCTTTATATAAACGCTCTGTATTTCGATCCTCCCAGAATGAATGGACTGCTTTGACTTCTTCATAAACTGTTGTCACTGTCTTTTCCAAAGTGCATAAAAGCATGAACCCCCCGGCAGAGTTGTTAATTATGGGAGGAAAAACAGCATGGCTTTTCGGTTTAAATAAAAAAAATACCGGTAATATGAAACATGAATTCAATTTCAGTTTTTTCTTCTACTGATATGCCTTATTGGATTTTCTTTGACAAACAACTCAAAAGTGGTGGTTATCGATTCCGTTCCATTATCGTGAGTCACTAATTTGTGCTCCAATAATACATATATGTGCAGACTATGCAGTATTACCTCCATGCAAAGCTTTTAGAAAAATGCTGTGATCAGTAGAATGGGAGTAGGACTAGCTGTGTGCTGGATAATGCAGTGGATTAGTGGAGATGCTGTTTGAAAGCTTCTTCATCACTGAGCTAGCCTGGTCTTACCACATCATCGTACTCATTTCATTTTATACTAAGGTCTGGATTTGCTCAATTGAGCTTCGTTAACAGGTGGGAGGGGTTGATTACTTTTGCAGACTAAATTGATTGGATCCGAGTTTACCATGACGTATGTAACGCGCCCGAATGAGTGAGACATTTAGAATTTAGTCACTGTATAAGACAAAGAACCTGCACTACTATTGACCCTATTTCTGATTGTCACTCTTTAAATTGACACTTGACACTTTTGTTGTACATAATATATCCTGCATTTAACATGTTTGCACATTTCTTTCTTTTTGCAAAATCTTGAGTGTTCAATCCATACCGATGTGACATGTAAATTTCTCCTTTGTGAGATAAATAAAGCATATCTTATATCTTAGCCTAGCTTTAGTCATCTACTTTACCACTAACAAAGCCCATGGGGAGTAGACTTGCTAAACTTGCTCAACATTTCTCTTGCTTCGACTTCAATTTCTTGATATTTGGTAGCCAACCCAGAACTAATTGCTTCACTATCTCATTCGCCGCCATTACCAAACTACAACCAAACAAATTCGGCGCAAACGTCACCAACACCTACCAAAAACCCCGCCTTCCCCACTTGCTGAATGGTCGGATGAGATACAACCGAGGTAACAACAGCTACTAGGATCAGACCCAGACGTACATGCAGGGAAATGATAATTGACAGGAGTTTACGGATGGCTAAGACCAGGCTACCACTGAGCCCTCGATCTCAGAAAACAACCATGAAAATGAACCCTGACAAGAAAGAAGTGCAGTCTGTTTTTTTTGTTCATTAAGTCTACAAAATGCTTAAAATTGTGTTAAATGTTCACAATGTGTAACATTTCAGAGCTGTCGACCAAAGAAATGCTTGGTTAAGTAAAGACATCCCTGGTGGATAGATTGGTCTATTAAAAAGGGAGCGTAACAAGAACTCAAAACTCTTGTGTGTGACCATTTTGAACTCAATGCAAAACAAATACAGCTACTATCATTGAAAATGTGAAATAAATACCAACTGTTCTGCTAATATGTTCCATCTATTCTCATGTTTATATTTTTTTTATATAAATCCTTAGAATTTACCAGGATATCATTGACCAACTCTAATATTGTAAAATCTAAATATTATACATCACCACAGTCAGAAACGTATGTGTACTTAAATCATCATAAAAAATTAACTTTTCAGAAAAAATGCAAACTAAATAGTCTCAAGTTTGGAGGTATGATAAAATGCGACTTTAAAACTGCCACAACATTCTTCAGTATCTTGACTGACCTGGTGCAGATCCTCGCCCAGAGGGAACTCCTGGAAATACCCCGGTGCAGCAGATGTGGCACGTATGGCCTGCCATAGCCGGTGGTGGCAGCCTCCCAGGTAATGAGGCCGCACCCCAGGCAGGAGATTGTAGTTTCTGAACACATAGGCCTTAAGAGGAGTGCCCCTGTTCACAATGGTGCTCACAGCGGCCACCTAAAGCAATAAAGGAAAAACAGAAAGTAATTTGGCCTTTATGTTCAAAACAACTGTTTTAACTCGTCACTACATAATTTGATGACAAGGTGTTTGAAACATTAAACCATGCATCAAAACTGAATGATAAATATAAAGAAGACAAGATGAACCTTCCTAACCATTTACGGTACAGTTTGAAATTGTGATGTCATTATACTAGAGTTCAAACTGAAAAACTTTAACTTCTATTATAAAAAAAAATCCACAGTATTTATTAAATAAATTTTTTTTGAACATAATCTTTGATAATTTTTAGCTCAAAATCTAGTGGTTTTATGGAACCACTTGGTCATATCATATGGGCAGTTTCAAAATGGCCGCGGGGGCTGAAAATTTTTGAAAAAACGCATTTGCGCCTGCGTTAGCCGGCATGAGCCTTATTCATTCACGAGTGCCTTTAAAAGTCCATAGCGGCTAAACGAGACTGGTCCAAAAAAATATACTCCCCTCAGCATTGACACACATCTGGAAGTAGCTTTGGGTCAAGAGCAACTTTTGGAGCATCCTGTAAAGCCGTTTTACGAGAGATAAGAAGTCGCCATACAAAAGCATTGGATAATTCTCTTTCTGGGTCCACCCCCACTGTCTAGGAGTGGTATTGCAAGCATGTCAGTGCACATGCTCATGGACCTTTTTGAGCCAGGACCTGCCCCCACTGGAGTCATATACAGGTTCTTCTGATATAGTTTGTCCAAAAAACCTCAAGAAATAGCTAATCTTGTCCGCTCATGTATTCAGTATCTATCGAGCTCAAATATGGCAAACCTAGTCTGATGCTACTCACTGTATATATTGGAAATCCGAAATAAATACCTTTTGCATATACTCTGACTGAGATAAAACTCCTGTTCAACATCAAATTCAACACTTTTACCAAATTTGTTTAGCATTTGCCACATCACACGCAGACACAATGTCGGTTTATATACCTCAGCGCATCAATAACGCTCCTCCACAATTTCACAGAGAAGCAGAGCATGGACTGAGACGGATAACTGAAGCATTAGATGTGACGTCCCTGTAAATGAGCTGAACCTCCACAGCAGCACAGAGCGGCACAGAGCAGCACAGAGCAGCACAGAGCAGCACAGAGCAGCACAGAGCGGCACAGAGCAGAACTGAGCAGTGAGTCAGCCCATCTTTGAACACTCACCTTGGGGCACAGGGGGTTTCTCGCCGTCTCCACCAGGATGTTAGAGCCCATTTTCTCTCTGTGGAGGCCAAATGGATGCCATGTCATTTTCCGCATTTGTGATTTCACTTTGTGCATTTAACCTTTTGCATAAATAGATAACTGTTACAATACTAGTGTGCGAATGAGAGGTGTGGGGAACCGAACTAAATAAAGCCTTATAACACTGGTGTTTTTCATACTCATCCCAACTTGTCAGACTTACTTAAGAAGCTTCTCCCAGGCCTCGCTGTCATAGAAAGCGTGGTTCCATCCCATCTTCATTGTACCAACAATGACATTCTGCTTGAAAATGTCAGAGCCCAGTTTTCGGTAGAGGTCATCACATTCACGTAGAGGAATTTGGAAAATGCCTAATAAATATCCAAGAATGGCACCTGCAGAAAAAAATAATGTGTTTTGTGTCCCAAAATAATATCCAACACGGAATGCAAAAAACACTGTTATTATAGCAATACATGTGGCCAAGTTAAATATTATATATTTTGAGTAAAATGATCTCACACTGTGATTTGTAAAATAAGTAGAGGTTCAAATTGAGAGTTTAAATGAAAGTGAATCAAGTTAATTTACATGAGACCCAGGAACTGTGTGCTTAGATAACACTGCCATCTTGTGGAGATTCAAACTAGTTTTATATTAGAATGTTGTCAAGCAAAATATGACATAACAATGTTCATGCTAAGCACATACTGATAGTGAGGCAGAGAAGCACTCATGTCCGAGGGACTGTGATGTTGAATATAATAGAATAAAAAATACATGAACATGTCAATGCAGTGGTATATATTTTTTTTTTGCATTGCCGTGTGGCATCACTGTCTCTCTCACACTGCGGTGCATGTTTAGCTACCATGACCTTTTTTCAATGAGTTCCTCTGGCTGAGCACAGCATATACAGTGCAGTAAAACTCTCTATTCTACTGATCCCCCTCAATATATTTTAGAATTAATATATCATTACAATGGAAGCCCGTTTCCGCCATGTAAAAAAAAATAATTATGAGTTTAAAACTCAAAATTTTGTGTTTAAAACTTGAAATTACGAGTTTTGAACTGCACATGTGCAGTTGCTGCCCGGTATGTGTTGTTGTCTGGAACGGTGTCTGGACATCCTTTACCTGCAGGTTATGTTGAAGATATTTCCTACAGACAATGACCACTGCATCCATGAAGTAGCAGCAATAATGTTGTGGCACAATATTAAACCTTTTGGAATTGCGATCAGTGCATTGAGGAGTATGTGACGTGAGTGTGTGCGTGCACGCGGCCGAAACGTGAGCGCGCTCTGGAGTGAAGTCAATGCATTGATCGCAATTCCAAAAGGTTTAAAATTGTCACGGCCCGCGACTGTGGTTCTCCTACCTCTGTCTGCGGACCTCCCTCACTGTCCTGTAATCGCGACTTTTAAACTCATAATTACGACTTTTAAACTCATAATTACGACTTTTTGTAGGCATTTTTTTTTTTTTACATGGCGGAAGCGGGCTTCTATACATTACATTATTATTGACAATAATAATGTAATATTATTGACATTGATAATGTAATGGACCACAATAACATCATATTATTGACTGGTCTTTGTTAAGTAGGCAAATAAAAATACAATAAAACCAATATAAAATACAAGAGTGCATACCTGTACTGACGCCACATATATAGTCAAAGAGTTTGTGTATAGGTTTGCCTGTCAGTGCTTCAAGTTTGTATAATGTTTGAAGGGCAACTAGTCCTCTGAAATTAAAGAAAATATGCTTTAGTCACACAGCAGTAAATCCCAAGATTAAAAATAAAATAAACTTTCAAAAGCAAATAACAACAAAGGGGAATTAGAAGTACCTCAACCCTCCACCATCAATAGACAGGATACGTATTCCACGTCCTTTAACAGCTTTGTGGTAGCCCACCAGAGCCAGCGCCTCGCGGACAGCGGAGCATAGACCTGGGTCATTGGCCTGTTTCAGTCGAAGCAGACACGAGATCACCTTCTCCTGGAAAAGTGCAAAAGCAACAAACAAAAAAAGGTTTGATCACAATTTCACTGCCTCAATTTTTCAGATCTTTCTTATAATCACATAAAACCATGTGAAACAAAAGCACATGGGTGCTCTGCAACAATAGTAGTTGTTGTTTCATACAAAGCTGTTTAAGGGGCATCATCACTGAAGGTTGTAGAAAACGTAAACTGATAATTCATATACTTGATTTTTTCTAAGCTAAAATCATGCATACTTTTTGAAATACATTAGGTAGATATCAAATAATAATTTGAATACTGAAATATTCAGTGATAATAATAATAAGCTGCAGCCCTAAAGTGTACACTTAAGAATGGCAAAGGCATGTATTACAATCACTCATACACTCAAGGGCATGGCCTTCACCACTTCACCACATAGTTATTTCATTTTTGTTTAGATGGAGGGAATCATTTGTATACAAATTATAAAGTGTAACTTCACTGTAACCTGCACCACATACAGTATGTCAGTATGTGGCCTTTGTTTAAAAATAGAAGCACATTGAATAAGGCTTTCACACCACCTCAGATAAGGCAGAAACATAAACAAATGGTATGCAGACACCAGGCGGCCTGACCTGCCGTGTCTGACAGTATACAGACAACAGTGGCTCTGGCCTTTAGCTCCAGAACTGACAGATATGACAGAAACAATGTCTATAAAAAGTACATTCACAACAAGTAGCACTAAAAAGCATTCTTATTCTACAATATTGCATGATACTAGAAAGCTCACCTTGACTGCGACCCCACGAGTTTCTGGAAACTCAAGGAGGTGATAGCTGAGGTCTTCCACTCTGCTGATGTACACCCTCACATCTGAAGCTCTTTGGAGCGCCTGCACCAGAGCCCGGGTCCGATTATCAACACTCACTCTGGCAATGATCTGGCATTCACACAAAAAAGGTCCTTATCAATTTAAGCAAGACAACCGCCTCCAACCAAACACGCCATACTCATCTGAGACAAAGTGCCTAAAGACACAACAATTTGACACTTTACAACCTTCCTGTTGTGGCACCTGGTGTTCCCAGATGTACTGTATCCCATAACATTCCTAACCTGCCATTGTATAATGTGTATGTAACAATGCAGATTGTGTTTTTAAAATGTGCTATAAATGCTACTGGAGGTGGAATCAAACCTAGGACCTACTTGCTGTGAAGCACAAGCTAACCACTGCACCACCGTGCCATGGTGATTATGTACACTTGTCCTTATTAAAAAAATAAATACAATAATCCAGGCTCTGAACCCCTTCTTTTCCAACATCTTCCCGGAACAGACTTTCACAGGTAGCCAGAAAGCCTTAGGGGTCAAGAAAATTGTGTGCACTTAGCCAATTTTTATGATTTCATGACCCTAAGTAAACACTCTTATGTTGTCTTCAGTGTTTAGGTTGTTTGTTTACAATCCATAAAATACAGTGCTTCAAGATACGTGTCCCACAAGGCAGGCTATTTTAAAAACAAAATTCCTAGAAGGCAATACTATTACTGGTTCATGTATAGAGTAGCAGGAATCCTAATGAGTGTGCGGATAGTGGCTAACTTCAGGATGACAAGTGGAACATGATTCAGTCCAGTATAGGAATGTGTGTAGAAAAGAATAACAAGAATAGGGATGTAACAAACCAACACCTCATGTTCGATAACAATCTTGATTTTCAATATCTTTCAAAACTTGATATGTTACCAGTGATGGGACATTTTCCCCTCAAATCACAGCTTATGTATGTACAAAGTAGTAACTCTATGCACAAACCTTTTCTCTTTGAAGCAGAAGTCTCTTGGTTTTCTCTTCTGCTGCCTTCTGCTCTTTGTTCATTGTAGTGATCACCTGTTGAGCTGTTGTCACATCAGGACTCTTCTCTTCTACTACTGGGCTTTTGGATTCTGAGGTCCTAAACCGGGGTACTAGAGGGGCTATGTAGCTCCCTACAAAGGCCTGCATGGTTGGACCAGAGTATGACAAATACTGGCCGATGCTCTTTCTGGATGGAGACGTTTGAGCTGCAGAAGTTGCTTCCATTCCATCAACCGGAATTACCTTATTGTTTTGTTTGCAAGGATTCTTGTCTTGAGCTTTTGTCTCGCTGGCAAAGTATGAATTTATGTGATGAGCGACATAGTTGTAGGTTTCATCCAGGCTGACTGAAAATTTACTTGGATGGAAGAGTGGGGTTAACGGACTTTCTGTGAGGTTTTTGTTTTGAGTATTACTTGTATCTTCAAGTGTTTTGGGAGGGTGTTTTGGAGTGGTGACAACACGTTTCAGTCTTGGGGGTTGTACAGGTGTTGTGACGTTTTCAGATGTAGCAGTGGTGGTAGATGAATGAATTTTAGGTTCAACTGTGCTCTCTCCAGATGAATGGGCAGCTTCTATTGATGTGCACTCTTGTGTCGATTTACTTTGCTCAGCTTTTGGAATAGACTCCACTATTTTTGCAACATTTTCACTTGGTTTTGCAGCTTTAGATTTTAATCTGGCAATTTTAGAAAGTAGCTCTGTGTGGCTCCCACTGACTGCTTTAGAAACAGTACCCAGGGTGTTTTTAACTTTCGACATGTCGAAACCAGTGAACCAACGTGAAGTAGACGTACTAAGACGTGGAGTACTGGTGTGGAGCAGCCTTTGTTTAGTTTGGGTAGCTCTAAAGATCCATTCCTTTCGAGATTTATTTCTTGAATGATGATAGAGCCGTTGTTGGCTGAATGAGCCAAGTTTGCAGCAGCCTGAAAGTTGCACATAGACCCTGTAGTGAGAGGGATCAGACAGAGATGATAGTCCAGACTTGTAAGCATGAAAACGCCACAAAACGAAACCTCTACTTAATTTCATCCAAGTGTGTGATACCAGCCTACGACTCATTCTTTGGAATGATGGTGGTGTTTATCCAATCCAAACCATTGTAAGGCTGCCGGATAGACCAGTCAAAGCCTGACGATAAAAACATAAAGACAAACATTGTACAATGAACAGGATGTGAATAAGGGGGAAACGGATACAAAATAAATGACAAGAGATGACAAAAGATAAATGGTTAATGGGGGTTAAATCATATTTACATTCTTTAATTATTGCCGCTATATATTCTCCGTTCTCGCTCAATATCCAGAGTTTAGTTTTGACGTTTGCTTAGCTTAAACATAAAAGCTAACGTGGACCGCTTAGCTAGCTGTTAGCACACTTAGGGAACACAACCAGAACACATACCTGTTTGTTAAACTCGCAGCTTCATATGGGGACAAAATAAAAGCCCAATGTGCTCGTAACTTGACTTGATCTCTTCGGCGAAGTCAACAGTAAAGTGTCACTTGACCTGACGTGATTCCAAAATAACGTGACGAAGTCAGGGTGAGGAAAACAACTGTCACGTGTCTTGTGTGAGAGCTGTGATTGGCTGTTGGATGTGAGCCTCTCGAGGGTGAGAGCTGATTGGTTAAAGATTATTCTAACCATTTACTGGATCGTAAATAATAATATAGATCTAAGATCAAGGCAGACTTTAGATAACTAAACCATGGACAAGTCAGTGTAGTGTTCTGTTTGGGAAAGTACATTCTTTAAATATAAAAGCCAACTGAACATACACACTCCATCGTTACTGGGAAATATACCTCATGGTATTATTATTATGTTATGATACGTGGAATGATAAAACACATGACTAGAGCATAGGGCACGCACATAGGCTGTATATCTCAGACTGTAAATATGGGCACATAGTGGTAGCATAGCGGTGCTTTGTAGGACGTTTTCTGTAATGTTTCTTGTCCACTAGAGGGTGATAGATTTTACATTACTGATTGTATTTATTTTCATTGCTCTAAAATGTTCGAAGAAGAGGCATCAGCGATGCTGTGAAACATGGAGCCACTATAAGTAACATCATGGATGTATTTGTCACTTTTACGCTTTTACTCATGAATCTAATCAGACCCGAGCGACTGTCTTAGCGATCATGGCTATTGTGTGGTGAAAAGTATCAGAGGAAGAGTGTGTCTTCTGGAAAGGTAATGGTACGTTTGTCTGTCACATTTTCACTTGTGCCATCATGTTAGCTAGCCGAGTTCTTTGATCAGAGAATGTCATTCAAATAACTCCTCGAGGGTAAAATGTGTTTGGAGATAAGTTTACACTAATAAATACTATGTTTATATATAGATGCTGCTTTATGTATTTATATATTTTTATTTACCTCTATGGAAAATCCATTCTACTTTTGACAACTTAGTTTTAGTACCATTTAATTAACCCTAACCTATATTATCTATTGTTTGTATTAATGTATTACCTACTATATTAAGTCTTCTTCTATTTTACAGGGGAGACGATGGCAAATGTACAGTCCGCTGTAACGTTTGCAGTGTCTATCCTTTTGATAACAGAGCTGATACTGGCAAAGAAGGACTACTATGACATACTGGGTGTGCCCAAGGATGCCTCTGAGAGACAGATAAAAAAAGCTTTCCATAAACTTGCCATGAAATATCATCCTGATAAAAATAAAAGTCCAGATGCTGAGGCAAAATTCAGGGAAATTGCAGAAGGTACGTGTTTGTTTGTGATTCAATTTATTTTCCAATTGTGATGAATTTGTCGATGAAGATTGCAAATACAACTCCACCTTTTGTTTCAACGTGATTTCAGCTTATGAAACTTTATCGGATGACTCCAAAAGAAGAGACTATGACCAGTTTGGCTCTGCATACTTCTCTGGACCATCACAAAGTTATCGAAGATCAAACTCATATCAACCTTTCAGTTTCAACTTTGATGACATGTTCAAAGACTTTGACATCCACAGTCAGAACAGACACGCGCGGCACAGAAGGCATTTTGATCATCACTCCCGCTTCCACAAAGAGAAGCACAAGAGGCACTTTCATGGAGGCTTTGGTGGAGGTGTCTTTGACGATGTGTTTGAGAACATGGAGAAGATGTTCACTTTTGAAAGACATGATAAGCAAACTCAAAGCAGATTTCACGGCACATCAAAGCAGCATTGTCGGACAGTGACACAGCGTAAAGGAAACATGGTAACAACATATACCGATTGCACTGCATCTTGAAATTCCGCATACACAGTATCTCCAATATAAGATTTCTGAAATAAGTTATGACGCACATTTTATTTAGAAGATAAATACTTGGAGTTAACACTGCTTTGGGTCAATGACATTTATTTATTTTCCTTGTTATTTCAAACTAAACTGGCTGTAAATATTTAGATTTGACAGTATTGCCATGTTCACTTTTCAAAGTGCCTTCACACTTAAAGCTGGGGTACCTACCATTTATTTTTTAAACATGTTGTCCCAGCAGAAAGAGTCTTGTAAAAGTAAACATTTGTGAAGAAATCCAATTACAACAAATAATTAGTCACTATTTGATGGTGAGCAAGAGTCAGCCTCTCTTTTTCAATTTTGTTTCAGCAAAAGGGCCAAAAATAGTGATGAAACCAAACCTTTTTGAGAGCAACTAGTTAGAAGGATTTTATTAAATAGATATATCTCTGTGGCTTGGAAATTAGGCATCCCAGCTTTAATCCTATTTTTTTTTGTACTGATAGAGGTTAGGACAAAAACGGCAATCTTTTGTCTCACTGTTTGACTGGATCAGTGTTCCCCAATCTTTTTGAGCCGTGGCTCATGTTTTTCATTGAAAGAAATTGGAAAAACTCTTTCTTATTGTTATTTTCTTCACATATTATCTTGACCATCTAGTTGATATTGCATTGTTTTGAAAAACACACTAACTTGTCATGGCACACTGGTTGTAAAACACTGGATTAGATGATGTATGTATATATTTTAGAACAGTGTCTCCCAAAGTGGGGTCCGCGGCCCCCTGGTGGGCCGCGAGGGTACTGCAGGGGGGCCGCGGGAGGTCATAAAACAAAAATAATAATAATATAATTATTTAATGTTAAATTTATAATGTTTTGTTTGTAATATTAAAATATTTGTGTTCATTATTTGACTTGAATAATCCACTGTAATCATTTTTGTATTACAATGTTTGTAGCAGAGGCTATTTCCCCAAAATAAAATAACCAGAAGAGCCTATTCTTAATGTTGTCTTCTTGGTTATTATTTTGGGGGGCCACGCAGACCCGTCAGATTTTTAAGGGGGCCTCGGTGTTACTGAGTTTGGGAATGGCTGTTTTAGAATATAAATTGTGTGTTCTCACTTAAAGATGTTTTCCATGTACATATATTGCCTATATAGGAATGTAATTTGAATGTTTTGATTTTGTGTATAGAGATATGGAATATATGAAACTGATCAGATCATAAAGACTTGGATTTGATGAATGTTTACTAAAGTACTCACAAAAACAACAAAAGCACTCCTTGCCAAAACCACTCCATTCTCTAGCCAAACATACAAATACATGGCAAGAGTTTCTATACATTTACATTTGTATTGCCTTAAAATTGGGCGGTAAAATGGTCACTGCTCTCGCTCCTCAACAAGAAGTTTCAACTCCTGGGTGGGATAGGGCCTTTCATGTTCCCCGCATACCACCATAAGTTTTCCCCCACCACGTGTACAATAGGTTTCCCTCATCTGGGTCCAGGACTCCCCTGAAAAAAAGATTTTGAGAAATCTGTAGGAATATCCTGATTAAATAAAAGTCAATGAAATGAATTAAAATGGAATGTGATATTTTTTTTAGTTTTTTTTTTTTTTTTTAGTATATGGTTAATTAGTGTGTAAAAAAAAAACCTTTGAGAACGATACAATATATTGTTTTATTTTTGTGGTAGTAGTAGTGTATTTTTGTAATCTTGAATGTATACAAGAAGAATAAAAATAAAAATAAAAATAAAAATATATACAACAGTCGGCCTGGCAACCAAATATTATTCTGGGGTTACTAGGCATTTTAGTGAGCAAACTGAGTGGAAACAGGAAATGTAGTTTAATGAACACAATAAGACTCTTTTTCCCATGATGCAGTTCGGAGCTTCATCGTGCGCAGTTCGCTGATCTAAAGTGAAGCCAATAGTAGCATACGTACTTAGCCGTGGCACTGGATGACTTTGTACTGTAGCCGCGGGAAATAGAGTTGTTTTAGACAAACTGGTACACTTACATTAGCTCATGGAGGCTCTTATCCCTGTCATCAACAAACTACAAGATGTTTTTAACACGGTGGGCGCGGATGTCATTCAGTTACCACAGATAGTAGTTGTGGGGACTCAGGTGAGAGAAATGTCACTTGCTCCAAGGCTAGCAAGTTATTAGCATGCACCAAGTTCATTTCTTTCGTTTCAGATTTAGTATTGCTTTTATTTTCTATTTTGGACATGTTGTTGCCCATTTTAATCTGAATCTGTGTGAAATAATAAGTTGAAATACTTGTTCCATGGTCATGTCAGAAGTAACTTATTTCATGTAACTTAGCTAGTGAAGATGAATGATTTCTATTAAAGTAGGGTTATATTTAGTAGCCCTACTTGTATTCATAAGCAACTTTCTTCAAACTACGTCTTTATTTATTGTATACTTGTTGTATTCTTCTAAAAGTGAATACTGTAGTAAGCCCACCTCTGCTTCGCTGTTGTGCAGTTCAGAATGAAAGGCTTTAAAGCTGCAGTCTTGTTTACTATCACTGTCAGGCTAATAGGATGTGACTTCCCTAGACCTCTTTCCCTGAACTGCCCAGGCTAATAGGAAACATGGACAGTTTAATATATTTAGGCATGTCCAGTGTGCATGATGCAGATGTAGGCACTGTAGAAGTGTGTCACAGTATTTGATTGCTGTATAATTATGTTGACTATCAGGGACTGCAGATGGACACCAGTTATCGAGCTACAATCTGGTGCAGAACATGTCTGTCTCTCTGTACGTCTCTGTACACTGTCCCTTCAATCAAGTTAAATAATTACTATCCACAGCTATCTATTATGATGTGACAGTAAATTATCCGAGTTGTGAATAACAAACTAGCTCACTACGCTTTTATGATGTTTCTTCTATTTGATAAACAACATGGTTATTATATTGAAAAACTATGTTGTGCTTTAACAAGACTTTTGCTACCTTTAAGTCAAAATGACCCACCACAGATGATTTAAAAGTAGAAGAAATATATCCTAAATTAGGGTTTAAAAGGGCCTATATGACCCAGGGCTGGTCAAGTAATGTAAAAACTATCAAAATTCAGCTTAAAAATATATATTTAGGGTATGTTTAACCCGAGGATAGCACAAGGGATATCTTATTATTTGTTTTAATGTCTGTTCGGTTGCTGTTTTTTAGAGCAGTGGAAAGAGCTCTGTTTTGGAGAGCCTGGTTGGGAAGGACATTCTTCCCCGAGGTACTGGTATTGTCACACGCAGACCCCTCATTCTACAACTGGTGCATATAGACTCCGATGACAGCCGGAAAACCACAGAAGAGAATGGTAAAATAATGCAGATTACTATTACATTGAATATGTGCGTTATGGTCTTATATTAGTAAAGGTATATAGGAGGATTTTCAGCTTTCTGAACAATAATCTCTGTCCTTATTTGACGAGCAGTAGCACGTATCACCAGAATGACTGTCAACTGGGAGGACCAATAGTCTTGATGATCCATCCGGAAGTGGAAAATCCTCCTACATGCCTTTAATTTATACTGTCTCTAATAGGTGATCTAACACTATCTTTTTGTCATCTTTGTATCTCTCTGTAACAACAGAATCACAGAAAAATGGACGACTTTACAAAGGTCTCCTTTTTTAAGCGCAATACTTTTCATCCAACCTTCATTTTACAATTTTTGTTTTGCTTGCTTAGTTAGCAAAATTAGAGTGAAATATTATTTGGACAAGCTGTAATGTGTTATACATTGTCTACAAAGTCAACAGTACCAACAACAATGATTATTGATTAATAGACTATTTTTATTTTTATTTGTAGTTTTTACTTTGAATATTTGTTATCAGTTTTCACATAATCTCTTTTTCATTTTGACCAAAACTCCCCAACTGTGAATCTCTGGGGAGTTTTTATCCCTCCCATCAAACGCTCATACATGGAACGTTATTGGAATAATACAGTATGTTCAGTAAAACTCATACAAAAGCTTGTTGTGTGGTCACAGGTATCGATGGGGATGAGTGGGGCAAATTTCTTCACACCAAGAATAAGGTACACTTTTGAATCTAGCTTTTGAAAATACATTAAATGTGTCACTTTCTATAAGGAGTTCATTTGCAGCGTTTGTGTTGCATGTAACAAGATATTACTCGGCCCTTTGCAGCTAAAAATATGTACGACGCTGTGAGGTAGCTGTCCTCTAAGGCAGTGGTGCGCATGACCTCAAGTAGCCTTTACAATGTACAAGATGGACTATATGATCAATTACCAGTACTTTGTCTTTCTGTTTGACTTCCCAGATAATTGAGTATTCTCCCCTTTTTTGTAGATCTACACAGACTTCAATGAAATCCGACATGAAATTGAATTGGAAACTGAAAGAATATCTGGAATTAACAAGGTGTGTCTTTTGAAGGTTTTCATTGGCTCATCCTTGTCTTTTATAATACATAACACTTCTTTGCTTTAGGGCATTAGTGATGAACCCATTCACTTGAAAATATTCTCACCTCATGTTGTGAATCTTACGTTAGTGGACCTTCCTGGTATTACCAAGGTACAAAAAAATCTATTTCTATGAAACTTCTTTTATTCAGAAACTTTATTCTCAATATTTTGAATATATTTGTTTATACTTAGGTTCCAGTGGGAGACCAGCCCAAAGACATTGAGATTCAGATCAAAGATTTGATCTTCAAATACATTTCCAACCCAAACTCAATCATACTGTCCGTGACAGCGGCCAACACAGACATGGCAACATCGGAGTCCTTAAAGGTGGCTCGAGAGGTGGATCCAGATGGTAACGCTCTTGTATTTTAATGTTTAATTGTGTGACTTCACAACAATGTATTTTATGTGTGTTTACAGGCAGAAGGACATTGGCCGTGGTCACAAAGTTGGACTTGATGGATGCAGGGACAGATGCCATGGATGTGTTGTTGGGCCGCGTCATACCTGTCAAACTTGGCATTATTGGAGTGGTCAATAGGTACGCCAATAAATCATAGAGTAAAGGCCACTATAGTTTGTCGAATCTAAGATTCTACTTCTCTTTAGGAGTCAACTGGACATTAATCAAAAAAAGGTAGTAGCAGATTCAATCCGTGATGAACATGCTTTTCTTCAAAAGAAATACCCCTCACTCGCTAACAGAAATGGCACCAAGTACCTGGCCCGCACGTTGAACAGGTTTGGCGTGGGAAACATTTATGGCTGTGGCACCTCAGACTTTCTAAGATTGTGCCACATTGTTACAGGTTACTTATGCACCACATCAGAGACTGCCTTCCTGAGCTAAAGGCCAGGATCAATGTGTTGGCATCCCAGTACCAGTCCCTGCTAAACGGCTATGGTGAACCTGTAGAAGACCAGAGCTCCACGCTACTGCAGCTCATTACCAAGTTTGCTGCAGAGTACTGCAACACGATAGAGGGCACAGCCAAGTACATAGAGACTACTGAACTGTGAGTTATGCTGCTGTAATGCTGTGCAAGGACCACAAAGGGGTGCTCTTGTTCAGAATAGAAACAACACTGTCCCAACTTTATCTTTGATCATACGTTGTTTCAGATGTGGTGGAGCACGAATCTGTTACATTTTCCATGAGACGTTCGGTCGAACACTCGAGTCTGTGGATCCTTTGGGTGGTTTAACCACAATTGATGTTCTCACAGCAATCAGAAATGCCACAGTATGTATATCTTCCTCAGTCTTTTATTCAGATGTATATCAGGAGTTGAACAGCTCTGTTTTCTGTTTAACAGGGCCCAAGACCTGCTTTATTTGTACCAGAGATTTCGTTTGAGTTGCTTGTGAAGAGGCAGATCAAGCGTTTGGAGGAGCCCAGTCTGCGCTGTGTGGAGCTGGTGCATGAGGAGATGCAGAGGATCATACAGCACTGCAGCAACTACAGCACACAGGTCACACACAAACTGAAACCACATCCATTTGTCGATGCGATCGCTTCAAATAGCTGTTGGATGCTTATTACAGGAGTTGCTGAGGTTTCCAAAGCTTCATGATGCCATTGTAGAGGTCGTCACATCACTCCTTAGAAAGCGACTCCCCGTCACCAATGAAATGGTGGGAAAATACTGCTTTACTGAACAGTATAAACAATAGTAAAGAGTCCCATTTGATCTCACCAGTTTTGTGTTTAGGTTCATAACTTGGTTGGTATTGAGTTGGCCTACATCAACACCAAACATCCAGATTTTGCTGATGCCTGCGGACTGATGAACAATAATATCGAAGTAAGAACAATGAAAATTATATAGTATAAATATTAAACTAAATTCTAAAGAAAAGGAAAGAAAGAACCTTTTTATGATTTTGAAGGAGCAAAGACGTAACAGAATGAGAGAACTGCCTTCCGCTGTGCCTAGAGACAAGGTAATGTGACTAGCTCTCCTACTTATTTTGAGTTCAGTATTTACCTATTGTTAGAATCCCCTTTGTATCTTCTAAACTTGGAGGTTATGGCTCACTTCAGAGACGTTTATCATGTACATAGTGAAACACAATGCAATGAAATTCTCGTAAAAAACAGAACTTTTGCGTGTGTGTCTGAGGACCATAAAGCACGAGCAAGAGAGTGTAGACACCCACAAACTGCCCCAAGCCACTCCGATTCCTGTGTAAAAGGGCCTTATGCTTCCTCTGATGTTCTCTGTTGTAGTCTCTTAAAAGCCCTGGTGGGCAGTCCGTCTCTCCCACTGAGTCTCTGGACAGTGAGGCCTACAAGGTTTGTGCTGCCTGGCCTGCTACTGCCTCAACCAGGGCAATCATGAATTTACATTTGTCAAAGATGCATGGTTATTATTCATTGATCAATCCCTATTTTCTGCATGTGTGTTTTGGTTTTTGAAGTTTTTATTTGTTTAAGAATGCTGATTGTCCAACACAAGTGCTTTCACACAAGTCAGTTTTCATGTTCATAGTAATGAAATGGCCTTTCCTCTCTCACAGGCAGCAGCAGGCGGCTCTCAGAGCAGCTCTTTGAGTGAATCTAGTGATGGTGGCTCAGGCGGCTGGAGGGGGATGCTGAAGAGAGAAGAAGGAACCACTGCTCCTCTTGCATCAAGTCCACAGAAGGGCTATGCGGTCAACCTGCTGGACGTGGTACACACTTTCTGTCTTCACATCTTTAATGACAAGCTTATGAAAACACTAAGGCTGTGATTACATGTTACTACACAGGGTCAAATGTAACATGTTGGAAGTGACCTCTTGGTTTGTTTATTTGCAGCCTGTTCCTGTATCTAGAAAACTGTCGGCCCGCGAACAGCGAGACTGTGAAGTGATCGAGCGCCTTATCAAGTCATACTTTCTTATTGTGCGCAAAAACATTCAGGACAGGTGAGACTCACATTTCTCTGAGCTAAGAATACAACGGTGCATGATTCATCCTCTTGTTCCTGGATCTGGTGGCAGTGTCCCGAAGGCCGTGATGCACTTCCTGGTGAACCACGTGAAGGACTGCCTGCAGAGTGAGTTGGTGGGACAGTTGTACAAAGCCTCTCTGCTCGGAGACCTGCTCACAGAGTCTGAGGACATGGCCCAGCGGCGCAGCGAAGCCGCCGACATGCTCAAGGTACGATTACTATGCAAGTAACAGTGTCTGAAGTCTATGTATCGCAAAACCATAATCCACATATAAACGCCACGGTTACTCTTTGTCTTCAGGCGTTGCAGAAAGCCAGCCAGGTGATCGCAGAGATCCGAGAAACGCATCTTTGGTGAAACCTGAATTTCAAGTTAGCATCAATACGAATGCAATCATGATCATGAAATACTCCCAACCATCCTTCTCTTTTCATGTGTTTTAAACTATTGAAGCAGTCCTCCATCACATTGCATTGTTATTCGGCAAAGTATTCCGACATCTGAATTTGCAAACCACAATACAGAACCCGCTCATGTACTGCTGTCTGAATGTATTGTAGTGTAGTTTTATTGTACAGTCAACTGCTGTCAATCTCCTTACAGTGTACATTTTTATTAACTTCATACCAAAGTAGTGCATAATAAACAATGTTAGCCATAACTACATTCATCTCTGCTGGATTAGGTTTTTATTGTACATTTGAATAAAGTGAAAAAATAAACAATAACAAGACTGCATATTGGAGAGAAAAAAGGTGCAAGGTTTAAACTGGCTTGGTACAAAAACTTTGTATTATTACATGATTGTACAGAGACATTGTACTTATAGCGGTTTTTTGGACACAAGACGCTTTTCAGAATAACAAATAATTGCTAATAATACTTGGTGTGGAACCTCTACAGATCTCTCATGATTTTGCCTCATTTCCTGCTTATTGTTAGGCAGATACTATTTCTGAGCCAAAAATGAAATCAATCTGAAGGCAAGCAGATAGAAATACTTGACGAGAAAGTGTTATGCTTGTTATGGTAATGACCTTAAACATTCCAATACAAATTCTGCATGATATCACACCTTTGTACACATGAATACTTTATTAGTTAGTTTCATAGCTTGGATGATTTATTTATTCATAGTAAGATACAGTATTTACTTGTTACCAACACTCAATTACTGCCAGAGAAAGTGTTTTTAAAAGCGTAGGTCCCATTCTGAAGCAGACTTTGGTCTTCACCTCAAACGTCCACTCATCTTCCCTTTGCCACGACCTTTGGCGCTGTAAAAAAAAAAAAAAAACGCAAATGAAACCGACGCGGTAAATTGCAATGTGCGTTTACTTACTTCTGATGATCGTTGACTCGTGCCAGTAGCAGGTTGATCTGAAATGACATTCCATGAATAATAAAAATAAATAAGAATACAAACCTTATGCTCACTCCTTACATCATATTTCTGTCGTTTGAGTTTTTCTGACAGATCAAATTTCTCGGACTCAAGTCCCATCAGCGAGTTCCACAGAGCATTGGCTTTCTCCCTAAAACATACAACCAATGTAATGCACTTTATTGTATACTATGATATAAAACTGTAATCTCTAAAATGTTGGTTACTTGAGTTTGTCCTCGTTGAGATGGTCGATGTTGAGAGGGGTCTTGCGCTCAGCCAGAATTTTCTTTTTCATTTCTCTCGCTGTCTGCTTCTTCGCTCCTTTTCTATTGTCAGCCTGTTTTCAAGAAAAGTTATGCTAATATGGTATCCACGAAATTCTATTCAGAATAATACTTAAGTTCAAAAAAGTAGAAGCTGTAAGTTATAACAAAGTAAACTAAGGAAACAAATTATTCAGAGGTTGATGTTAATTGAAGACACATTTGAAGGAGCAGGACTAAAAAAAAACGTATTGTTAGGTTGTATCTTATAAGGCCATTGTCAATTGCGGAATAAAAACTCACTTGCAAGAACCATGCGACAAAATAGAGACAATGTTGACAGCACCAAGACAAATGTAAGACATGGGGAAGCTAGAATATGTCTCATGGGGAATGTGGATAAGAAGGGCAGTTGCAGTTGGCTGAAGTGGAATTTCTTTTAACGAAATATATTATTAATACCACAAAATCTCTTTGAAAATGTCCTTTTGTTGATGTGACAGTAGATGTGACTATGAATGGGTTGCAGATTTAAATACCTTTGGTCCCATGTTGGTTAGGACTTTCTTCTTTTTGGCATCTTCATCTTGTTTTTTACGATGTTCCTCTTGCTCCCTGCGCTCTCTCTCCACCTGTTAATTATGATAAATTCAAATCAATCAATAGATATAAGCTTTATTAGAGATACTGTACATTTTCACAGGGAGAATCAAAATGTTTCAGAATTTCATAAAACAGTGTGCAATGCCAAAAAATCAGTCAAATGACATTTTGTCCTTGAAAAAGTTCTGCAGTATTTTAAGCTAAGATAAGATAAACTTTATTGATCTCACACTGGAGAAATGTACATGTCTCATTTGGCATAGATTGAATCACTCAAATTGTGCAAAAGGCAGGTTAATAATATAGTCTGTGCAAGATATAATTATGTACAATAAAAAAGTGGCAATAAAAGAAAGAGTGGCAATAGCAGTGCAGGGTTTTTTTTTCCATTCCTAGTGCATTAGTGACTTAAAGTGACTTATTGTACAGTCTGACATCGGTGGGGATATGTATTTCTGAAATGATTCAATATCAGTTTCTCTCATTTTTCATGTGGACTTCAGTGATCTTACTGCTAGTCTGGTCTGCCTCTCCTTCTCTTTCTCAGCTCGAATCCTTAGCTGCTCTGCTCTTTCTGCCCGACGCTTCTCCTGCAAAAAAACAGCAATAAATATGAATATACAGAGTTTTTTTTTTTCTTCTGTATGACCGGAGCCTTTACAATCCTGTTGACGAGGGTAATGAGCTCCTCCTCCTCCTTCTTTCTCTGGACAAAGTGAGCCTCAATGAGAGACTGCAGCTCCGACAGGTCTTTCTCCTGACGTTTCCGGTGGATGTCCTGAAACCAAAAGAAAGAATTAGAATATAGATTGTTCCTAATTTCTTTGAAACATTAGCTCAAAATGTCATTAATATTTATAATTACATCAAAATCCACTTTGTCTCCATCTGGCATCTTGGGGACAGAGAGGTTTGCCATAAATCTGTAGATAGACTATTGTTAGCGATCATTTTCTTAGTATTTTCTAAATTTGAACTGAAGACTTACTTTGGCTTCGGTTTTGAATCATCTGTAACAAATACAATTTATAATATTCATACATCTTAAGACACATTTGAAATTAAAGCTTAAATTGGCCAGGGTGTTTTCTTACCTTCACCCTCCCTGTAATCGACAAACAGGTGATTAGATTTAGCTTCTGTATAACATTTTTTGTAAAGTTAAACATTTACATACTGAACTTCTTCATCCTCCTCCACCGCGCCGCCGTCTACGTCATACATTTTGTGTCGAATGGGTTGTGAGGAGGTTTCAGATTGGTCTAATTATAGAGACACAGGGAGTTATAGAGATGCCAGATGTAATTACAACCTATTTTATTCACACAATGTATAAGAAGGCCCTTTAACTGTCAAATTTAATTTAATAAGTACTTAGGTCTACAGGTCAACAGGCCGTGACTTTGCAATTAGGATTATGACGTCTACAGATTTTCATATAAACTACCTTTTGAGCAGTACTTGTCTGCTCAAATAAACAAATAAATAAATAAATAATATAAATAAAACAAACTCTTTTACAACATGCAGAATATTTACAATAAAAGACGTCAGCTGCAACACAACAAAATCTATTAAATAAAAAATAGTATTCCTCCTATGCCAGAATTAAACCACAGCGATGCAATCCTGACACACTCACTTTTAAGCAGTTAGATTTCTACAAGTCGTCATTAAAATACAATCCTTTAAATTCGGGTTAGGGTAAAAAATCAGACCGGTCCTTACCTGTCAAAGGGAGCTCAGAGTGGTGTCAGCTCCTTGAAGTAAGGGGGATAAGAAAAGACTAAAGACATGTGACCACCACGTCCATCCACACTCTATTGTTGGAGCTACTACACACACATACACGCACATACACACACATGAATACAGACACACGCACATACACACACATGAACACAGACACACGCACAGGCTTTCACTCACGCTTCAGGTTTCAGGGCTCCATAATACACTCCTCAAATGTTTTTTCTTGCAAACAAAATGTCAACAAGATTTTGATACAAAGCCAGGTTTTATTGTTGCTGCAGCTGAACAACATTAAGCATTCATGTATAGGTACGCAAACTACACAAGCTTAGTATTCTTTTGTAAAAACATAATTCAAGTCTTTTGGTGTATAAATACGTTCTTCCACATAACACACATGCTATGAATCCAGATTTAAAATAACAGTTTTCTCTTGCACCAAGACCGCAGTAGCTTGATCTGCCAATTATAAAATCCGGCCTAAATCGGAGCGTGTTATAAGCAGTGATAACTAAAACGAAGATGAAAAAGGCTCATGAATGTGAAAAAATGAAAACGTCAATTTTAAGTAAAACATTTGAGACAGATCTAGTCTATAAGAGGACATGGTTATGATCTTTGAACTTGTGTCTTCAATATCAGAAGGTCCGTTGTGTCTTCAGACGTATTGTAGATCTAGCAAAAAAAGTAAAAAATATATTCACTTTTTAATTACTTTTTCATGAGTATAAATTGTTCATGACAGATTGCTAAACTTGGATTCTGTATTGTTCTTAGGATACACTTTAAGCTCATGTGTGTCTTCCAAACAAGTATTATTGCTATTAAAACCTACCAACACTCCTGTTTGAAAGCTCACATTTAAAAAGGCCTCATTCTGAGCCTGGTTTAAGGCCTAAATTGTTCATAATCCTTCCAAGCGCTAAGTCGTAATGTGAAAATCGTAGAGCTACAGCAGAGAATGCTCAGCAGCCGACAACATTACGTGGCTCGAAAGTTTGTTCTTGTTTTTATATTGGGAAACAAGGTCAGGGTCTTTCAAATATAGATCTCGGTGGGACGCGACTCAAAAATCTCAAGCAGCAGGTTTGAAGCCCAGTGAACCACTCATCAGGCAGCAGGACTGAGGTGACGACGGATTGAGTTCCACTACATTGTGTGAAGGTTGTCCTAGACTCTTCTCCCACTCAGAGACCGTATATAAGGACCCAAAGAAGCTGATTTGAACGTAAGCTAACTGGAGCCAATTTCCTTATATGGGCATTTCTTCCGTGGTGTTAGCTATGCATCATAACAGGGACAGAAGTGTTGCTAAGACGAGCTGGCATTTCCCCCACAAATAAGGGCTTCTGATTGGTCAATCCTTATAGGGCTCATATCTGGATTTACAAAGACAACATCAAAATTTAAAGACTAGGATCAGGAGTGCTAAACCAAAGATTTTTAAAGGCCAAAATGATAAGTGTGACACAATCGGTTGCTGAGGTAGAGGAGTTCATTTTCTTAATGTCAGTCAATAGGAGCCAGAGCGTGTTGGAAGAAAGCACTTCCCTATTGGGCTTCATTGAGCTAGCAGGTTAGCATTGTCCATCTATATACAGTCTATGCCCACTTATGACAATCACAGACATCTACCACTGCCACAGCCTATAATGACAACATCCAATGGACTGAGAACGTACCAATACTCTCACCACCTCTTGACTCCTCCTCCCAACTGTAAGAGAAATAATCAATCAATCATTATTAGTCAACAGGAAGAATTCACCATCACAATGTGGTGGCTCATTACAGGTAAATCTACAATAACATGCTTCATTGGTATGATATAAGTCAGGATTACCTTGCCAGGCGTTGAGGTTTTCTTGGGTTCCCACATGCCACGTTTGCTGGCACTCTCACTTGGTTTTACTTCCTGCACAGACAATGACATACAAGTGAAACTCAGCACATTCAAATATAGTAAAAAAAGTCAATTTACAGCACTTTGTAATTCAACTTACAATGTGAAACTGTCATGGTTGTCATTTTAAGTTCCTGTTTTATTTGACATTACTTGTTCTACTGTGTCTTTTTGAGTTTTACTTCCTGTTCTGTTGATTGCCAGCCCCACCCTGATGTTATACCGCCTTTCACAGACCAGAGTCACAAAGCGGTTTACAATTGTTATTTTTGGGCACTTGTCCTCTCACTCCAGACAGAGATGGGAGCGGGGTCGCTGAACAGGAGGCGCATGCCAGACCTATTGTACATATTTTTAGTGGTAGGGGAAACCGGAGTACCCGGAGGAAACCTACGCAGACACGGGGAGAACATGCAAACTCCACTCATGTTTGATGCCTGTGTGTCGCAGTTAAGTTACTGTACCTGTGCTCTTTCGGTAGGCACTAGATCATATGCGGAATCGGGACGGAAGCGGAAGTAAAAATCCTACTTTCGAAATAGTTTTAGACTAATTAGTCCTTCAGTGGTGACTGGTTAAGTTTTAGTTGTCTGAGTAAGATGGTTGGGATTAGGGTTAAGGGTGGGGTGGGGTTATCCTATGAGATTGGCTGGTTTATGGATATATTAGTTTAGGTAGTTGGTTATATTTTGTTCCCTCTTGTTGTCAGTCCATTGTTTGCTTTTTACCCAGTTTTTGTCTTCGTCCTCAGTTCCTGTATTCTTGTTCATTACATTCTATTTTTATTTGCCGTATTGGTATTTGGGTTTTCCTTCTTTTTGAAATGTGACACAAAACTAATAAACTGTGATAATAATAACAATATTAATGATAATTACACCTCTAAGATGAGGAGAAAACAGTGTGACGAACACTGTAGGCCTATACACAACCACATTACCAATGAATATGAAACTCCTGACCTCAAAGAGTGATTTGATATTTCACCCATACACTAAATAATCTGAACTATGCTATTTGTCGCACAGCCTGACACGGTGCTCCAGAAGATGCCCTGGGATTAACAAGTGCAGTCCTACTTTAAGAAAAGAACACAATGTGCACCATGGGCCAAGTTTAAAGCTGCTCCTTTCTACAGTCAAATACGCTGTAACAGAATCATCATTGTAATTTATTGTGTCAACTTTTCAAATAGTTTTTGTGAACCTCTATAACTTTACAAATTAAAACAATGACCTGAACGTGACCCGTTTCGTTTAGTTGCATTTAAATTCTCAAAACTGGCTCAGGTATTTTTGCCATGTCTTGTTTTGCCACAGCTGAAGACTGCAGAGATTGATAACGAGGTGCAGAAAAAGAAACTGGATCATGAACTGTAGATAGATGTTATTGAACACTATCTGCAAAATATCATTACACACACACACACGCACACGCACACACCACGCACATACACACGCAAACACACACACACACACAAACACTAATGTGAACCCTTTAATGTTCACTCCTTGAAGAAAGCAATGTCATTTTTTTCTTATTTGGATTTTCTAAGATGTAGGGGAACTAATAACTAAATAATTTGTTTTTACATTATTTTTATGTCTGTTTTGTATATGCCTTTACCAAATGTTTGAGATGCAGTTTGATGGTAAAAGTGCCAAAAACCAAGTGAGATGTGCCAAAGAAGGAGATTTCAGTTACAAGCAGATAGATGTACCGACTCAAGTGATTTTATTATGTGTTTGTGTGTTTTTTGTTTGTAGTTTTGTTATCTGTTTTTGTGTTATATGGACTCTTTGTGTGTCTGAATTCAAATTAAAATTAAAAATAAAATAAAAAGTGATTTACCAAATGATTGAGGAAACCATTGCGCATTAAACATGTTTTGACACTGCTAATTAGACATAGATTGGCATGTGTACTAGATTTAGAAATTAATTCACAAATCTCAGTGAGGGTTTTATGTTCACCTCTGCCCATGTGGTGGCGCTACTCACCACCACAAAGTTGCAGAAATCAAATAAAAGCAGAGTCCACAAAGAACTGCACACGAGCCTTGAGCATGTGCAGCATGTGAGGGGATCAGTTGTCACTTACGTTTACCACAATTGCATTTACAGAGTTGTGGAGTGGGATTTAGAAGGCTTACTGCGGGCTTTGCTGGTGTTTTCTGTGCTGGAGAAGGAGCTGTCACTTCTTCAGTAGGTGGCGCTGTCTTCTCTGGCTCAACTGGTTTGGACATCCGATTGGACAGACGCCCCGGCACGTTTACTTTGTTTACAGGGATTTCCTGCAAAACAAAAATGGTTCTTTCCGTGAAGCAGAGTGATGATGTGTGCATGTGTAAATACATTCAGGCTTAATGTCCGGTACTTTATTAGCAGGAGCTGGACTTTCGCCACCGTTTCCACCCATGTTGCCCTTTTCCCACATGTTCTTGAGGTTTCGAGCTCCTCCTGTTGGAATGTCTGTCACAGTGGGTTTCACCTCTTTCTGGCCCTGCGGTAAAATACATTATTATTATCATTACAATAACTTAGTGACTAATTGAACATAACCAAACCAAGTAAACTCTGACTTGTACAGCAGAATTGAACTGTTCCAGCCGACTGCCAATCCTGGAGACAATGGGGGTATGAGAGACTCTGCTTGGTGTGCTGCAAAAAGGCACAAAATGAAGTACCTTTAAAAACTCATACTACAGGGAAACATTTGTGATTTTTAGTAGCTCACGTTTTCTGGGCTGATTTGTTCAAGAATTCTGCCTTCGCCCCAATCTGTCCAGAAGTAAACAGGAGGGATCAAAGATGTTAAAGAGAAACATAAATGAAGTAGCATCTAGCCGCATATACTCTATGCACTCACCTTTGAGGAGCCTTTAGGGCTGATCGCAAAGGCAGGTTTATTTGTCTCTTTGTCCTCTTCCAACTGTTTCTTTTTCTCAGCTGCTTCTGCTCTTCGTTTCTCAATTTCCTCCTTCATCCTCTTCCTCTCCTCCTGTTAGAATCAGCCAAAATACATGTTTATTTACTTAGTAGTTTGTGAAAAGCTGCTTTAAGAATCTTGTTATTCAGTAAGGACTAGCATAAATGTAGACCATGATAAAATAGCTTTTGGATGAAATAACGCTTCACATGGCATTATTGATTTACTCTATGGTGATAAGCTACTATTGTAGCCACAGCTGCCCTGGGGCAGACTGACAGAAAAGAGGCAACCAGTATGTGCCATCAGCCCTCTGACCACCACCAATCATTCATTCACACAGACACCAGATCCATACTGGGCGATATGGGGGAAATATCTTTACTAAGGACAATGACAGTTTGGTGCTTTTTGGCGCCGGCCCCGCTGGTGTTCCCAGAGGTTTGGGATTGAAAATTGAAAATGTCGATGAACGCTTTGTCAGTTTGAATTATGATTTCATTAATCTTCCATAGAAGGAAGAGTGAGCTGAACAATAATAATGGAGTTACCTGCTTTTTCAGAATTCAGGTGAATTATTCTCTAGTCTAATGTAAGTTTGAAACCAAATGGACTGACCTGTTCTTTGGCTTTCTTTTCCTCCAGCTCTTGTTTCTTTTGCCTCTCCTCCTCCTCCAGAATCCTCCTCCTCTCCTCCCTCTTCTTCTTCAGCTCCTCCAGCTCGGCCTCTGCTCCCTGCTGCTTCTGCTTCAGCTTCTCAATCTCTTCGCTCTCGGCTTCGTTTCGTTTCTGTTTCAGCTCCTGCAGCTTCCTCTCTGCCTCCTTCTTCTTTGAGTCCTCTGACGATGGGGATGATATATTTTCTCTGAAACTGGAAGTATTTCTCATTTCAAAAAGTGACCAAACCCTTTATGCGCCAAAGTAACAGAATTGCTTCAAGAGCTTCTGAATCCAAGACACTTTCTATGCAGCAACCTGACTTCACAAACTTATATTTATTATCATTATTCCTATTATTATTTTGGCTATTGATTTTAGTGTTCTTTCTCTTATAAAGTGATAGGATTTCACCTTTTGTCTGTTTTGCATAAAATGTCGGAAAAAGGTTTATGGCTCAGATAAAAACAAGAATACAATTGATAGCCTATCAAAGGATCTCTGAGTGGCTTGAAAACAGCTTCATGGTCTGATAAACCAACAGTACTTGGTGGACTATAAAGGGGATCTAAAAATATAAACCGCACAAGCTACATTTGAAAAGAAAGTACATTTTGTCCACATACAGGCTGCAATATAAGGTTTCCATGTTGTAATGTAACAGTGTAACAGCCGCGGGAAGACTGTTTTAACTGGTCATAATATATGTTAATGAATAAACATACGTCATACTGTAGCTACTCAAACATGATGGAGACAAAACAATCCTTAAACTGCGCTGACAACTGCCCTAATCTGTGTTAGTCTGGAGTAAATCCTTGCATTCCCTCTCTCTGCTGTTCACATAATCATAAACCACAGCTGTGTCAAAAATTCTTTCCTGAGCCCCGGGGGGATGCGACCTATACCGCAATAAAAATACATACATTGGCCTCATCGTTTTCATGTCGTAATGTAATTTAATTTGTAGCACTTTGAGGTTTTGTGTAAATGTAATATTATCATTATTATTATTATTATTTTCATGTTGTAATGTAAAAGTGATGTTCAAAGCACTTTCTATAATTTGACAATAAACATGCTTCCCATCCCTATACTAAAACTTGATAGAGCCAATATAAAAAAGTCAAACTAAAAACAATAAATAACAATAAATACATATATTGAATACGTTGGCTGCAGGATACACAGATGTTGACAAATAAAAAATAGCGGTTTATTGTCTGGTTCTGTAAGTCCAGTTAGTTTTCATACCTGGGCTTTTCTGTTTTCTTAAGTTTATTCTCAAAGGGCGATAGAAGCTTTTTTGGTTCATTCTGAAAAAAAAAAATGAAACAAAATGAAGAATTATTGTCTATTTTGTAAGCATCATTTTCCTTTACCTTTTCTTTGAGTCCAAATTTCTTCGCTTTTTCTTCCTTTGTGCAGGAGAGATAAGAAAGTGGAGATTAGAGTGTGATTTCTCCTTCTGTAACTGACGCACATACTGTACCTCCTCTTTCTTCCTCCTCTCCTCTTCCTCCTTTTTCCTTTCCTCTACTTCTCTCTTTTTCTTCTCTTCCTCATCCCTCCTCTTCCTCTCCTCTTGCTCCTTTTTCCTCTTTTTCTCCTCTTCCTCCTTTTTCCTCTTCTTCTCCTCCTCCTCCTCCTGTTGTTTCCGCTTCTCCTCCTCTTCCTCCTTTTTCCTTCTTTTTTCCACCTCTTGTTGTTTCCGCTTCTCCTCCTCTTCCTCCTTCTTCCTCCTCTCCTCTTGCTCTATCCTCTGCCGCTCCTCCTCCTCCTCTCTCTTCCTCCTCTTCTCCTCTTCACGTCTGAGATTGTCCTCCTCCTCCTTCTTCTTCCTGTCCTCTTCTTGCAGTTTTAACCGCTCTTCTCTCATTCGTTCTTCCTCCTCTCTCCTCCTCCTCTCTTCTTCCTCTCTTTGTTCTTCCTCTTGTCTCTTGTGCTCTTGTTTCTGTCTTTCTTCGTCTTCCTCTTGTCTTCCTCGCTCCTCTTCCTCTCCTGTTTCTGGCTCCTCCTCCTGCTCTCCCTCCGAGTCCTGCTGAGTTTCCTCTGTCTGTCCTCCATTCTCCTCCTCCTCCTCCTTCTCCACTTCCTCCTCTTCCTCCTCTGCTTCTTCAGACTGAGACTGAAGGTGTTCCTCTTCATCCTCCTGTTGAGTCCAATTGTTCTCGTTAGATTCAGAAATGTGGTTTCGATGTCTCAAATCATACCTTATTCACCGCTGCACTTATCTCTTCCACAGTTTTTGGCTGTAAACAAAATAAACAAGGACAATCTTACATTTAGGTCTTTGGGCACAACTCAAACCCCATTGGACAGCTTTGACACCGGGTTTTGCAATTTATCAATTTCTTAGTGATTTTGATTCTGTTTGTTTTCATCAAGGAAAGGAACATTTATTTGTACAGCACTGTCAAAAAAGTTCAGTTAAATAAAAACGTTTAAAAAAAATCACAATCATAATATTCTATTTCTAGAAGAAGCTTCTTAATGTGAATTTGTTCAAGATATGAACTCGTCCTACCGTTAAAAGTCAAAAGGTAAGAAAAAAATTGCCATAATGAGGCATATTATTTCACATATTGGAAATATTTTGAAATAATTATTTTATTATATTTTTTGCAGACATGACCTTTATACCTCTTTCTCTTGTGTGGAGCTCAGTGCCTCTTCCTCCTGGGCTGGTCCCTCTTGTGCCTCCTCTTCCTCAGCCCGGGCCTCTGATGAGACAGCGGCCTGCTCTTCCTCTGGTTTATGGTCTGTCCCGTCGCCGTTGGTAACAGGAGAAGTCTGTTCCAGCTCCAGAGACTTCTGTCTCTCCATAGCATCCCTCATCCTCTGCTGCCTGCGCTCCTCTCTCAAGGCCAAACGTTCAAGTAAAGCCTGGTCATCTTCCAGTCCAGAGCTCGGGGTAGAGCTGCTGTTTGTCTCTGCCACACTGTTGAAGGCACAACAATTGCATTAATTAAAACGTATGTACATATAGAGGCTATTGTAATAACAGTGAATAAGTCCATGCTTATGATTCACTATTGAGTTGCTTTTTGCTCAGTCCTGAAACAAGAGCTCATGATATCATTGATGTCCAGGTACAAACACATGCAAAATAAACAGACACAATACTGGCTCTGTTGGTATAATGTTTCAGAGTGCGTAGGAGAAAAATCTAGAAGATATGTGTGATACACTGTATATGACAAAATTGAGTAAATTCTACCATGTGTTTATTAGCTAAGAGGAAGAAAAATTAGACAATGATTTGAATACAGTAATAACATTAGCTTTACGTGTCTCATTATTGTGTTAAAATGTATTTTAAGAAGAACTCAAATTTAAAATTGGTATAGTACCTTGTCTAGATACTTCTACATAATCAAATTCCATTATTATTATTATTATTATAATTATTAAACTATTGTGGGTAGTTTGTGTTTCGGTGCCTGTACTTGTTCCCGTCCATGACTTGGTCACTAGCCACAGTCTCTTCTGCATCTCTCATTTTTTTCCTCTCTTCTCTGGCACGTCTCCTTTGCTCACGAGCTTCTTCCTCCTCATCTTCATTTGCAGCTCCCACCCTGTAACATACCATTTGTACTTTTTCTACATAAACATTGGCTGTTAACGTTCTGTAAACAATCTTGAAAACAACTTCACATGAGCTTAGATACAAAACCCAATATATTGTGGTTTGCCAGAGCATTTATCAGCAAGCACAAAACTTCATGGTGGTTGAATAAAACAACTCTGTCTTTAAATCATCACAAAATGAGTTTAAATCTATTACCATTAAATTAGCCATTAAATCTAACCACAATAAATCTGTATCACACATCATCCTGTAAACATACTTGTCAGACTCCTGTCGCTGCTGCTCCCTCCTCTGTCTCCTCAGCTCCATGCGACGCTCAAACTCATCGTCCATGACGCTTTGTTCTAACACTCAACCTTTATCTATGAAACATAGACATCAACCACAATGTTCACAATTTTTGTAATCAGTAAGAATAACTTTGATTATGACCTGAATTGGTTCTGCTAAAAGAGAAATACAAAATCAAAGTCTCTGGTTTTAAGGCAGTGGCCCCTCGATTATTGATAATGTCATGACTTTGTACAAAGTGGAAAAAAACTTCCTCAGAGGAACGGCCAGAAACTTGCCAACACAAGTAGATGTTCATGAAAACATCAGTCAAGAATAAGTTACTTATAGACACATCTGAATAAGTTACACGAACAAACCATCATGAATGTAATTTAAAATACCTCAAAAGATTCAGATCTGCTCCATGGACAGTCGCGAGAACCCAGACTTTATGTATCCGCCTCAGTAAACTCTGGTTTAAATCTGTGCTGCACTAAAGTTCCCTGTAGGTTCTCAGCTGATGAGACTATACCAGAAAAGGCAAAGGCAGTTGTTAGCTGCTCCGTTTCCTCAGCCTCCGCCTCCTGTCTGACTCCTGCTCAATCTCACTACTGCTACATCACCAGAACTTTCTCAAACCTTTTCAAAAAGAAGGCACACATCTGTTTTTAATTTAATTTGACTATTATGGTAAACATAAAACAGAAATTGACTTAAGACAATCTTATACATTTGATGATTATGTACTGAAAGTTATGGAGCGATTAACTAAAGCCATTCATAGGCAACTGTTTTGCATAATGTCACAGAACAAAGAGAATACTGTATCTGAGGTAAATTGTATAAAGTACAACACAAGCAATGATGTAAGATGTTACACATTAAATAAGAGGATTTTCATAGGTTATATGAACCACTTGTATATAATCTTTCAGTATCTTTCTTCAGATCTGACACAGCCCACCAACAATGACAAGTATGCATCAGTTTAGTTTTCACTGTGGCCATTGCCATATACAGTCACACTTTGATGACAACTTAATGACCAAATGGAGCCTGGTTTAAACATCCTCAGCAGCTTTTCCATGGAGCAAAAATAATTTTGGTATTTTCAAACCTTGACTATTACAACAACAAAAATCGTTATCTTTTACAATGACAACTAAAATTGTTATGTTGTATGTTGATTGTATTTTAACTATTCAACAACACTTACAGTGTGTAGTTTTTGCTCTTACTTTTTGAAGAATAAATCTTGTGTCTTTCCTGAATGTTAAACACGCATACACAAACCTGCGCTGAGGTTTTGGCCCTGACCAAACTAATGGGCTTCATCATAGAAGCTGGCAACCCAGATGACAGACTCATGTGATGATAATTCTTCTTTCTGATTGGAAAATTGGAACCCAATAAAATTGGAACCCAAATATAAAATGGGGCGTTTCTTGGTCTGGATATTTTTTAGAAATATTAAGTGACACCAGGGGTGAGGAAAGCACCATGTTTAGGTTAATCACCCCTAAAATTATAGGTTAATAATTAAGGTGAATTATATCTATATAAATACTGTAGTTGTCTTGTAAAGTATGCTGCTCCGCGGTTTGTGCGTGTGTACGTACGTGCGTGCGTCTGTATGTGTGCGTGCGTGCGTGCGTGTGTGTGTGCGTTGTGGTGTGTGGCAGGTGTAAATAGTCAGGCGTAAGCTTGTTAAAAAGTTGTTGGGGTCACATATATACTTTTCTTGCTGGTTGTCACACACTGATGTTTTATTGGTTATAAAAGCCCCACCTGTTTCCAAACAAACCTTAAAGCTCTGTTAATATATCTTCTCCTACGGTCACTCATTTAGATCAAGTAGCATGGATCATAGCGACTTTTGATGCAAAGCTTTATTAAAGATATTAGAGTGAATGAGACGGTTTCACTGTTTGCCTATAGTGATATTTAACATCAGGTAAGACACTGTTGTGATGGTCGACATCAGAGCTTTCTCTAAACTGCAGCCTTTGTTGGATCCCAGTAATGATGAAGGTAATGTGCCAGAATATTTTTTGTGATCTGACTTTTAGGCTTTCTAGAAGATAAAAGGTGCTGTATTTATCTGTTATTAATTCAGTGCACCTCATGCACGTCAAACGTACAGGGGAGTGAGAAAGAGCAGCAGGTAACATACTAACAATACAAACAGGTATCAATATCAGAAAACCATACTGGAGATTTTGGTCCAAGCAAGTTGTGTGAGTGATGGAAATAATAATTGTGTTGAATATTTTCATAATTTGAATGAATTCTCACTCACTCCCCCAGAAGTGCTAACGCCCCTGAATCTGAAAATCTGTCTAAAGATAATGTTTATACCATACTGTCCTCTACTATCAACAATCACATTTAAATTAACAATGCAAATGTCTATAAAAACTATCATAGTGTTCAACACATGCAGTGCATTCAGTGAGGTAAACTTTGTTTAAGGAATGGAAAAGTCCTTTCTACAGAACACATTACAGATAAACAGTGGCCAAAGATACGATTTCCATCCATCAAGAAGCGATGACTCGCTCTGACCAAACATGGTCACACATATAAAAAAGTCTAACCGGGAAATAAATTCCACACAGTTTACAAGCCAAGAAATTGTGTTGTCTTTTAACGTATCATCACCATTTGGTTCAGATGAAAACTGTTTTTCCGGTCAAATATCCAAGCAACTATGAGGGAACTGCATAACAATCTGACCATGTAAATTAAGTACATAAAGTTAAGAATATTTGATTTACTTGTGTCTTCAATGACAGTAAGACACAGTACATTTGGGAGGATGCTATAGTAATGTTGGAGCCAAGTTATAGTCTCGCTTTGAGTTTGTTTAGTGGAGACAGAGGCAACACAGGTCACTCCCGTCCGCATCCCATTGAAAGTCCTCCTTTTAAGGAAACGTGCCGCACTGTTACTCTGAGTGTCACTGCTTGGCAAGTGCACAGAAAAAGACACACAACATGGTTTATTTTAACAAATACTTGCTGCCGGAGAAGGGCAAACCAAGTATAACTTATGTCCATAGGGACATAAGGGCATAGATATAAATGCTCAATGTGGAAAATGCAACTGTCTGGGAGATACTTCACACAACAAATACAAATGTGGATGGATTGGAAAACATTTGCCTGAATACACTTTCCCTTCACACACACACGCACATGCACACACACACACACTCAAAACATGAATGTTTACCAAACCCACATTCTGTATGCTTATGCATTAACTGTCACAAACTTGAAGGAATAGAGGGCATGCACTTCAGGAACCAGCGTTACCAGTGTCAGATGTCTGTTTCATGTAAAAGAAAGAAAAGCTGATCTTTGTTTGTCTTTGGAAGAAACTGTCATTAAGCAGGGATAAGCTTTAGATGAAATGTAGGGCGCCCTGTAGTTGTGTTGCATGTGGAAAAAAGTATGGTGCATTCTTCTATGACAAAAATAAAACCTTGTATACCACAGACACTTTGTATTAACATCAAATGTTGTGTAATGGCCTTTTCTATAAGAAGCCTTTATGACATAAACCCAAAGATTCGACTATAGTAAACAAACATTTAAAGCAGGTAAGCCTTATAAAAATATGCAGCACTGAAATAGAGATGAAAAGAATCTTACCTGATCAATGGATCTAACTTCTGATTTTCATTCGCACAGATGTCTTCTTGGAACATCACATGAGTTTTATAAGGCACCAACAGCTCCGCCTGCTTCAACAGCAAAGGAAAGGGGTTTACAGCAACGTTCATGTTGCATCTTTAAATTTGCAGATGTGTTGGTAAATCTAACCTCAAGGCCTCTAGTATTGGAGTTAAAATAGAAGAAAAAAAAACAGATATATTAGTCAAGCAGTCAAAAGGAAAATAGACTCCAAGGCAGTGGCTCAATAGATGAATATTACTTTGGTATATCAAGAAAAGTAAAAGGCAAAAACAGGCACAATGCCAAAATAAAATATGTTTGTTCATTTGTTTGTAAGTCCATCTTATAGGAGAGGATTAAGAAATTCACTTCAGGTAGATTGTAAAATTATATTTTATTTGAGCAAATGGTTTAAGATGCTGGGAAGACACATATTTCATAGAGTTCACTGCGTCCATGTAACAAAGCATAAAAGATTATGTTATATTATCGTAAATTCACAAACAAATTTGAAAGGGATAATTAGATATATCAATATATAGAGGATTTTTGTCGGCACATACAAAAAGGAAAATACAAAAAGCTGCTTTCAACATGTACTCATCAATCAATGAGAGCAAACTGCTTCACATTGTTCATTCTTTTTACTGTGCCACTGGAACCTTCTGAGAAAAATGGACAACATACAGTACTTGCAACATGATGCACAAAAACACAGCAGTGATCAGTAGACAATGACAACGTACAGTAACGTACCATCAGTTCAAGTCAATTTAGAAGTAATTATTCAAAGCTGAGATTATATCTCATAAAAGTAAAATTAAATGTGTGCTATAAATTGCATGGAATAATTCATAATCTATAAATATAAAAATGTACATTTTTAGATCAAACAGCAGTGCATACAAAGTAACCAAATTAGGTATTTTCATGACCTTTAAGTTAATAATGATTGTATAAGAGTCTGTAATGGAACCCTACACTATAAAAGGCACACATTAAAAATGTATTATTTCGTTTTTTTTAAATTAATAAATTCATTTGCCTAGTTTCAATAATGGATATCACTGATGATCAAGCTTACCTCTAAAATACATACAGACAACTCACAGTGATATGACGTCTTTCACATTACAGCAACAGCAATAGCAGCAATCCTCTTTGAAACATTTTCCCATTATATTTCAAGTGGATGGTTTAGCTTTGCCCTGGTCCTCCACTTTTTTAATAGCTGCCTGGATCTTGGCTTGGTCTCCCAGGAGCTGACGAGGTTTGACTGGCCTGAGGTTTTCATCCAGCTCCAGCAGCACAGGAATGCCCGTCGGTAAAGTAACGTTGACAATGTCCTCATCTGATATACCTGTTAAAAATATGATCCCAAATGTTTATCATAAGCAGTTTTTTAAGAGGCTACATGATACAGTAAGTACATGACGGTGGAAAAATGTAAAAAACTTGAATACAACATGTACCTTCTAGATGTTTGAGAAGGGCCCTGCAGCTATTTCCATGACCAGATATGAGTACTGAGCGGTCTTTCCTAATTTCTGGAACTATTGTATTGTCCCAATATGGCAGCAGTCTGTCCAGCACTTCCTTCAGACTCTCAGACCGAGGTAGTTTGTCTTTGGCAACATCACAGGTGGTATATCTGCGATCATTATATATTTCGTGATAGAAAGGGTGAGATTCGTCAATTGGTGGTGGGGTAATATCATAACTCCTTCTCCATAGTTTCACTTTCTCGTCTCCATGTTGCAAAGCCATTTCTGTACGATTTAGGCCAATCAGAGAACCATAGTGCCTTTCATTAAGCCTCCATGACTTGACCACCGGGATCCACTCCAAGCCCATAGACTCCAGAACAAGCCATGCTGTTTGAATGGAGCGACTGAGAAGGGACGTGAACACAATGTCAAACTTGTACCCCTGTTCTTTTAACAGTCTGCCACAGTCCTGGGCCTCAGTGACCCCATTTTCACTCAGTTTCTGATCAACCCAACTGCAGAAGCGGTTCTCTTTATTCCAGGCGCCTTCTCCATGCCTCAACAAGAAGAGTTTGTACTTGGACATCAGCAGTAACAGTGAACAACCTGTATCAAAAAGAACAGAAAGCATGGAATTATTAAAGCACAATAAAATAACATCAGAAATAAGAACAACATTTGCTTATTTACAATTGTTTTTCCCTATTATGGCTAAAAAGAGTAACATTTGCAATGAGAGCAAGTATTTTAAAAGCATAGTGGCTTCTCACAGGCAGGGTCAGTAAAAGGTTAAAGGTTTATGTAAAGGTTCCCCCAAATGGCAAGCTAATAACAGCGTCAAAAGCCAAATGAATATATAAAACTAGACATAATTAAGAAGAACCTTTTACAAATAAATATTAATAATAATAACGTAAAAAATAGTAATATGAATAATATACCACTCACCCGGAATAAAAAAGTGTCACTGTTTAGTACTAGAGCTAGCTTGAGGGATGGATGCTTCGCTATGTTGTTGAATGGCGCTTAGCTTTCTGTACATGTTGATGGGGTGACTATGGGTTGCACAAATAAACATGTGTACATTCGCTTGCATAACATAGTGAAGATATGAATTGATTTTTACCTTTTATAAGTACAGTAGCGGGTAGCGGGTGCAGCCTTCAATGATGTTATTTTCGTCCATCAGCAGCGCGCCGAGCAGTTCCCGTGGACGTACGTGACTGACGTGTAGCTCAGCCAATCACAGTCGAAGCTCATGAGAAGGAGTGAAGTGATTGGCTAATATTCTGCTCATTTGAAAGTCTGTCCTTTTGGTACTTTCTTTCTCAGTGTAAGCTACTTCTGTTCTGAGAATAACTGTATTTTGGCCATCACTGTTTATAGAAGCATCCAATGTTGTAAAAAAAAAAAAACAAAAAAAAGAAGAAGTAAAAACTGCTTATTTGCCTCTGTTTAACATAGTTTGCACGGCATGTTTGCTATAACAAGGATATTTGTTTTGCCATCCAATAAAAACACAAAATAACCTTCATATCCAAGAAACAATGTATCAACAACAAAAATCCATAAAAAACATTGATCTAAATATATACACCGATATCACCATTACATACACAATCACCTTTATACACAACATATCTGAATGGACAAAGCAATGCAACAATTGAATAATGTGCATTTATTTACCACTGCCAACTAAGATTGGAGAAAAAAAAATAGAAACACAATGAATATGTTTGAACAAATGCTAAGTGTGACTTCTGTGTTGCATGTGTACAAAATTGTGAAACATTTTCTTCAGTTTATGTATCTTTTTCATTCCATTTCACACATCAAACTTCTTCTTTCTCCCCTCCATCCCAGACATTGCATCCACATTTTTACGCCAGTCTGTTACTTCCTCTTTCTGTAAGTGAAAATACAGCAATGGTTTAGTCACTCGTTCAATTGTTTATCATTTTAGTTATTATGTTACATATGTTTATTGCCATGACAACTGCAAGAATACATTATACAGTACCTTCTCCTCTTCTTTCTTCACAGTCTTCAGGTTGGCCTTGAAGTCCACAGACTCCTTGACCTTGGCGCCCAGCAGTGCACCAAGCATGGCGTCTGCAGAAACACGCACTCTCTTCAGGTTTGGCCTCTTCATTTTGCCTTTCAGCTCATAAATCTTCTGAGACAAGTCGTGCACCTGTCATCAAGGAAACCATACACTTACGATAGGAGTTCTTTTTTTTATTACACCCCACATCACTTACTTTCTGATCATTTATGGTCACTTTGGCAGCTATGTCAAATCGGTCCTCATCAGCAACATCAATTTTCTGATGTAACTCTCTGCAAAGATTCTGTGGAAGGAAACTTTAACATCCTTAAACTGCTTTTAACAGTACATAAATGTAAGTTCTCACATACCTGTAGGTCTTGTAAGCTGAGACCTGAGACTTGCAGGGCTGGGACTTTCTCACTCAAGACCTGATCTCGTTCCTCGCTTTTGAGCTGTTTTTCATTTTCCCACATGGTCACAGCCTTTTTCAACATTTTAGTCTGTACACAAAATATAGTAGGCTACTTATAAAACGCTGTTACTGACAAATAATATGTAACCGTTTTGAATCAATACTTTTACCTTTAAGAAGAGCCTGCGAGACGCAGAAATCTTTGGCTTTGAGTTCTGGAACAAGATCCTTAAGTAAATAAACCATTGAGCTATTATATTATAGTCATGTGTAGAGGCCACTTACCCTGGTCAGGTGAGTTTGTGTCAATTGAAAAGAAAGACACATTTGTGTTAATTAAGTTGGATATATTTCATATAATTGGGTTGATCTTGTCTTTATCAGAAAATACTTACTCATCAGTCATTGTTATCAGTTCTTCTTTCTGAATAGATCAATAGCACTTTTGTTATACAGGACACAAGCTTCAATAGTTCAGTAATACTGTACTCTAAAGTTTCTCTTGCATTCTTACAGTCACAATTAAATATACATTTTCTTGGCTAATAAATACATAGACAGGCAAGTTTAGTATGATGCTTTGTTAAGACCATACCTTGTTCAGTGATCAGCGTCTTGAAGCTCCCAGTCTGAGATGAAAAGAGTGAACAGTGCAGGATATTGTGTACATGTGTTCCTCTCTCGTGGTTCACTAAAATAGTCTCAGGTCTGTCCTCACCATTCCTGTCCCACATTACACATGTCTGAGTGTGAATGTTTCTGTGGAATTCTCCTTCAACCGTCTATTCACAAGACCAAAGTCATGACCGACCTCTGTGAGCCCTGGTTCCTATGTCAATGGTTTTACAACTGCAACAATGAAATTTATGTTTTGAGTGATAGTTGTGGCTACAATGGAGCAAATGGTTCATTAAAATAGTGAACCACTTAAGAAAAAAAGCCTTTTTCTGATAAAATTAGGTCGTCAAAATGTGCTTCACATGAAATAATTTATAAGAGTAATTAATTATATATTATATTGTGATGTGTAACCTTACAATGACCTTCCCTTTTTGTCTCTCTATTATGTTATTTATTCTCAGAATGACACAGATTTAAATCCAGCATCCATGGGTATATGGGTGTATATTCTATATAAGTAGTAGTAGTGGTTTCTCTTTATATTGCGCAGTAGCCTGTAAACATTAAGGAGTGTCATCACAGCCACTAGGTGTCAGTGTTATGCACTACATCATTTCAGGAACATCCATGGAAAGAATGCAGATAAGATTACAAAAAAGTTTGCATTTTAATTTTATTTTTTACGTCACAATGAATTAATATTTGAAGGTTGGCCATTTCTCCAACAGAGAAAAAACATAATAATCACACACATAAGCGCTGTTCGAAATGTTCGCATGGGGAACAGTGCCTCCTGCTGTTCAATACTATTACTGACGAGATGAAGATTTTTGTCCAACATCAAACAATTTCTTTCTCCCTTCCATTCCAGACATGGCCTCCACGTTCTTACGCCAATCAGTCACTTCTTCCCTCTAAAGACGCACAAGCCAAGACTTTACATATTGCTTGGATCAAGATATTATTAACAAGCATATATATATATATATATATATATATATATATATATATATATATATATATATATATATATATATATATACAGTATACATATATATATATATATATATATATATATATATAATATATATATATATATATATATATATATATATATATATATATATGCTAGCTCCTCACCCTCTCGTCCTCTTTTTTTCTCTCTACTGTCTTGAGGTTGACTTTAAAATCGGCCTTCATCAGCTTGGATGGGTCATTGTAGGCCCCCAACATGTCGTCTGCAGTTTTCTTTACTCTTTTGAGGTTTGATCGTTTCAAACCCTTTAGCCCAGTCACTCTCTGTGTAAGTGACTGGATCTGAAAATAGTTGTTTTCATTTTATTTTAAGGAAAGGGGAAAAAGAAAACTGGATGGAATCAAATTAGCTCAGGGGTTGCCACAAACACAAACAGCCGGGTCGCCATACAGGAGGCCCATGTCAGACCTATTGTATATGTATTTAGTAGGGGAAACCGAAGCACCTGGAGGATACCTACACAGACACAAGGGGAACATGCAAACTCTGTGCAAACAAAGAGGTGGTATAAGAAGTAAGGAGGATTTACTCCTTTGCAATTTATTAATATTATAATAATGACTGCATATAGTGTCAGCTATAGGAATAAAATGCAATCAGAATGGCTGCATAAATGCAACCAACCTAAAATAGTGTGTTACGCTATCATACTGCACTGTGTGAATAACTGGGACTGGGACTACCTCAATATCGGTTTTTGCCACTCGGACCTCCATGTCATAGCAGGCTTCATCTACAACATCGATTTTCAGGTGTAGTTCTCTGCAGAGCTCCTGTCACAACAGCAGTATCATGATCAATGACACATGCAGCGTACCGTGTGTCCCAGTGGACCAGTACCTGCAGTTGTTGGACTGACAGAGCTGAAGTCTGCAGGGGAGGGAAGCTCTCGTTCACAGCCCGCTCTGTGGCCCGTCTCTGCTCCTCTCTCTCAGCCACCAGCAGCGCCACCGCCGCATTCAGTAACTTGGACTGTAATGTAATAGAATTACAGAACACTTTCTATCTCTGAGATATTTACATGTGCTATAGTTTATCTGCAGTGTCTTAAATAGGGCTGAATGGTTTTAGAGAAGTCTTGTCATAACAAATCTATTCTATATTTTATGTTTTGATAGAGGGATAGAGTTCAATGTTTCAAATGGAAACATTTGAAACATTGAACTCATGACACACTCTCACCACGTCATGATTTGCTGTAGCCCTGTTTTTACCTGTTTGACGGCAGTCCTTAGACTGAAAGCAGGATTTAAAAACAGGGATAAAAACTACAGGCAAAATCTGACGTGTGCTAAGTTTGTTTCAAATGTTTCCATTTGAAACATTGAACTCTATCCCTCTATCAAAACATAAAATATAGAATAGATTTTGTTAATGACAAGGACTTCTCCTAAAACCATTCAGCCCTATATAAGACACCTGCAGATAAAACTACGCACATAGTAAATATTTTTTCATACTGCACTGTGTGAATAACTGGGACTGGGACTACCTCAATATCGGTTTTTGCCACTCGGACCTCCATGTCATAGCAGGCTTCATCTACAACATCGATTTTCAGGTGTAGTTCTCTGCAGAGCTCCTGTCACAACAGCAGTATCATGATCAATGACACATGCAGCGTACCGTGTGTCCCAGTGGACCAGTACCTGCAGTTGTTGGACTGACAGAGCTGAAGTCTGCAGGGGAGGGAAGCTCTCGTTCACAGCCCGCTCTGTGGCCCGTCTCTGCTCCTCTCTCTCAGCCACCAGCAGCGCCACCGCCGCATTCAGTAACTTGGACTGTAATGTAATAGAATTACAGAACACTTTCTATCTCTGAGATATTTACATGTGCTATAGTTTATCTGCAGTGTCTTAAATAGGGCTGAATGGTTTTAGAGAAGTCTTGTCATAACAAATCTATTCTATATTTTATGTTTTGATAGAGGGATAGAGTTCAATGTTTCAAATGGAAACATTTGAAACATTGAACTCATGACACACTCTTTAGCACCACGTCATGATTTGCCTGTAGTTTTTAAACCCTGTTTTTAATCCTGTTTGACTGGCAGTCCTTAGACTGCCAGTCAAGCTGCATTAGGGAGTCAGTTTGCTGGGAGAAGTATGATAACTTGAGCACTATCCTCTCCTCCTTCCTACTCTATCTATCTGCACTATTAAGATTTTGACTGTAGTGTGTTCATTGCTATTCACCCGTTGTCCTATTGTCGGTTTCATGGCGCGACAATGGGACCTCTGAACCGGCCCTCTTCATCTGCACCTGCGGACTGCCCTGCCCGACCCGCCTAGGAGCGCTTCAGTCCTGCACCGGCCCTGTCCTCATTCTGCGGCCGCTGCGTGGCATTGGTCCTCGTTCTGTAGCTTAGGTCCTGGATCAATAGCCCGTCCATCCGTGTAGGAGCGGATCCCTTTCTCAATATGTGGGTCCCCCCAAGGTTTCTCACTTTTTTCCCACTGGGTTTTTGTGAGTTTTTCCTTGCCGATGCAAGAGGGTCTGTTGGGTAGTCAGTGTCCTACTAGAAGGACTGTGGTGATGATCCAGGACACTTCAACATTCTACAACATGTATGGACATTTATCAACATTCATGGACATTGGTCTCTCCCTATGGACCAACTCATATGTTTATATTTTGTGTCTTAACTGTTGATTATCTGATCTGTGTTGATGATTTCAATGGTTTTGTTAAGTCCTCTGAGATAACTGCTGTTCTGATTTAGGGCTATACAAGAATAAGTTGTTGTTGTTGTTGTTGTTGTTTGTAAAGGGAAGGGAATGTCAGTCAAATCATTAAAAGTCTTGAGATTTTGAAGTGAAGGGTTTACTATGCATTGTATACATTTCTAAGAAAAACGTATGTATGACACATACCTTCAAAAACAGTCTGCGAGAAGCTGAAGATTTTGTCTTTTTCTACGGAAAATTCATAATTTTACATTTACATGTAGAAAACATATTCCTCTCTAAAACATCATATTCTCTTTGACATACCGCTCTTGACAAAGGAGCACATGAAAAGAACAAAAGACATATTATTGAGTAATTCAAACCTTAATTCTTATATGAGATTATTCTAAGAGTTCACTTACCCTTCTGACATGACCGCAGTCCAATGTTCCTGTAAACTAGACGAGAGAATCTCCTTTCCAGTAGCAGCACAAAGACAGAACAATAAATTAATTAAAAGTCTATTTTCTAATTTAAAATCATTAATAGGATGATATTTATTAGTAGGCCCCTTGAGCTATCAGATGGATTTCAGATTTCAATAGGCCTATAACTTTGAAGTGATCCTGGCTATTGTTTTTTAATCTTGTCTGTTGCTATATTTGACTGCATTGTCCCAGTGCTTCTGTGTTCCGACCACTGGTGCCGCCTTGTTGACGTTAAGCCAAATGTGCAGTTGTTTGTCTCTATATGACATAATTAAACAACACTGAAAAGTCAATTTTCTCATTTCAAAAGTATGTACCATTTATTGTTATTGGCCCTTGGTATTAAACTAATACATAAGTTATTACCCAAATGTTAAAATCACAGGTCAATGGTGAGAAAGATTTGACACACATTTTACCCCGGGCAAATGCCAAAAAAACTCAATATTATTGCCACAAGTTTAAAATTCACTGTTCTTAGCCGTTCCCATTGTTTGTTGTCAGCATCAATATATCAACAATACATTTTATTTATAACCATATGGAGACTTACCTTTCTGAAATGTAAATCCTGCTGTGAGCCAAAGTAAAAAAAAATATATATCTATATATATATCTATGTTATTGATGTAATATAGAGATGATTAGCTGAAGACGGCCTCCCCCTCTTGGCTACAGCAGCCTCTCAGCCAGTGTGGTCTTTTGTCGAATGGGGTTGTAATAGTCTCCTGTCCCTCAGCTGTCTAGTGTGTGTGTGTGTGTGCGTGTGTGTGTGTGTGTGTGTGTGTGTGTGTGTAGGCCATGCTGCTTTTAAAATGCACTACCACATCACCTGTTATCAATGTTTATTATTCGGTTATCCCTAGACCTTTCCTCACATGTAGAGATTAGAATACAGTTGAATCTCTCCAGTCCATTGTCAAAAGAGATTCTCATATTTCAGCCACATACATGACCAAGACACTAACACATGTCTAATGCCAGTTCAAAGTGGTAAGTACAGTGTTAGCACGAGTCACAGCTCATGTTTAGGACTGCGGCACTGCAACAGGGGGAGCAGCCATACTGTATTTGGATGTTGGAGCTTATACTGTTTTGTTCTGTTCCTTTTGGCTCTGTGAGTTGGTTCCTTTACTTATAACCCGATCACCTACACTGAAAGCTGGACTAGCTAATTATTTTGTTTTCATAAATACATGTTGTTTATCCCAATCAAAAGAGTCTTGTTTAAGTAACATCTCGTGAACAAATCAGATCACGGTATGCTGTCTTTATCTTATTAGAAAAACAATTTAAATACTGAGAGCTGATTGGCTGAGTGAAGTTTGGTGCTGTTTTCTAGTTGATCTAGATGTGAATAGAACCAAACTGTTCGCAAGCAAGGGGGAAATTACATGGATTTTATAGCATAGTTTGTTTTTAAGTTTTTCTTCTTAAGTTTGGTTTTCCATGGCACCACCTGCTTGTGAAAGCTTGATCCAATCTCAGAAGCTAAGCTGGGCAGGTTCTGGTTGATACTGATGGGAGACCTCTCGGACCTCCAGGTGCCACTGTTGGGACGGCTGTGAAGTGCCAAACTGACACTTTTCTCATATTTGCTATTATGAGTCTGGTGTGCGCCTAAAGAAGGTGATGACAAACTGGTTTCCTCGCTTCAGTCAGTCTGCCCCAGGGCAACTGTGGCTACAATAGAAGTTTAATACCACAGTGTGCAGACAGAATGGATAATGCTGTTTGAAACGTCTTTGAGTGTCATGAAATTATTTTTTTATTATCCACATTTATGGATTCAGTATTTGTTTTTCATGTGTTTTTCATTCATGGAAGTTATGAATTGTGCTACAATAAATGATCAATTATATGACATGTGAGTAAGTGAGTACTTACTTACTATTATATGACATGTGAGTTTAGTAGAATCCGTTATTTAGTTTGAATAAATTCATATTTTGGTGGTTTTTGAAGCTGACTAGAAAAGACTATAATTCCACAGGAAACGCGTTCACACTCAACAATCTGATAAAAAGACCTGGTATCTGATAAAAGAAACAGAAACAGTTCATTTTGACTTTCCTGTTTGCTAAAATGATCCGAGTTGTTTTCTTCTGCTTTTGTTTAACAGTTTCATCTTCTCTCAAGACTCTACACCAACTCATCAGCTGCAATCAACCGGTAAGTTTTACATTACAATGGAATTGTACTTTTGTTATTTGCCATAAGCAATAACTATGTGTTTGTTCTTTGGTTTCCAGGATCTGGACAACTGCACGATTGGTGAGAACATTCTCATTCCACATCAAATATATTTTGCCTTCAAGCTTTAAATAAATGTTGTTGTTACAAGAGCCTTGTAAAAGTAAAATATTGTAATTAGAGCATGCTGTCTTCATCTTATTAGAAAACATTTTTCACATACCTCTAACAAAGACAATATTTGACGCTTGGGGCAGAGAGCAGAGCAATAAAAATGGACTGAGATCTGACAGAAGCCAAAAACACATGCATGAGAAAATTAGTCGGATTCAGATTCATTTATTTGCCATTTGCAGTAAAACCCCATTAGAATACATTTGCAAAAGTCCCCAGTGTGCACAAGACAAGTAAACAAATAAAACAACATTAAAAGTACAGAAATAAAACAAACAAAACAGTAAACATTGACACTGTGAAATCGACCGACTGAAACGGTTTCAGCACCAGTGCAAGAACATTAAAGTGCTCTGTTCAAACTGATAACAGCAGTGGGAAGAAGCTGTTAGCAAATCGAGATGTCCTGCATCTCAGAGAACGATATCTTCTGCCAGAGGAAAGAAGCTGGAACATGGCTTTCCCTGGGCCAGAGGAGCCATTGATTATTCTAAGAGCCCGGTGTAAACGTCTGGATTTATAAAGAACCTCCAGAACAGGAAGCTCGCAGCCCACAGTCCTCTTTGCAGAGCGGAGCACCTTGTTTAGAGCTCTCCTTTACAGTGACTGAAACCAACAGTTTTAAGAGCAAGGTACTAGCTAGATTGCATAATAAAACATTCTGTGGAATTAGGTGCCCCAGCGTTAACTTTGGCATTACATTCTCTTTTCTTTGATTCTACATTCTCATTTCTAGAATTTGATGATATGATAACCTCAAATGACTCCACTTTCTGAAGCTAATGAGAAAGACTTGATGGTATTTTGTTAGTTTTACGCATAGTCCCAGTAGTTCATATGAATCCTCACTGGTCATACTTGCATCTCAAATGACTATTTTTTGTTACAAGGAAACTGTTCGGAGCCACTTGTTGTCAAGAGGACGCTTGCCCCGACTGGGCCAGAGTGGGGCCCTGAGTGGATGGGAGTCGTGGAGGACAGAGGGCAATTCAAACCAGTTTTAAATGTGTCATGGGAGATACAAGCCACTGGTCAGTACATAAAGATTGTGTATATTGAAAAATCCCAGTAATGCATCATCACCTTCTCCTCATAGCTAGCATCAATGCTCTGCAAGGATCCCAAATATTTATCCAGGATGAAAAAACTAATGAGACCATATGCTTGAAGTATGTGTATAAATTACCCAAACCTTTGAATCGTAACTATGAAAGAGTAAGATAATTGTATTTATTCATGATTCAGTTTTGAGCTTATTTTGATTAAACAGTACTTTCATAAGGTTTTAAAATCCTATTGTTTTAGTGGACGTTTACTCTTGACGGTTTGGTGGTGCAGCCTGAGCATACATACTTTGTGACCATTCATAACATACCTCAACCCAACTCTGAAGAATACAGAATTATGAAGGAAGTGGTCGTTCCAGGTAATCTACTTTTGTATTATTTGAAAAAGATAGAATTTTACAGATACAGTTGTTCACTTTCTGTATTTTTGTAGGATGCAATGACAAGATAATACAACAGTCCCAGATGTGTCGTGAAAATGGTAAATCTTTGCAAAATGATGAAATAACAATAAATGCAAATGACTTAATATTTACCAAAAAAATCCAGGTCGTCTTTGGGAGCCTCTGATGCGTACAAATGCGTCTTTGGACAAGATACAGAGAAAAATGTCCATATCAGTTCATTTTTACACATCAAAGTACTCAGAGAGGTATGATGTGTCTCTGAAAAGCCCTGGATATCTCTCCTCGGTAACAGTCTTTAAGGTAGTGGTCCACCTAACCTGCTTTTACAATAATTTTATGTTTCTTTGATCTCTAATATTGAAGAGTAATTACGTCTCATTAGGAAAACGAAACACGGCTCAACGTGACATTCTATTTGAGTGCACCACAGTGTGCATTTGTGATTAAGGTACGTATCACGCTGATCACAGTAAACATTCTTTGCAATAATAGAATCATCTTAGGCATAAATGTTTTGAGGATTTTTGATTTTTTTTCCCATCTCATAGATTCAACCATTTTTCAAAACATGCAAAAATGACTGTTTGTTCATTGAGAAACCCTATGACTACTGCTTCCGTATGTATCTCGAATTCCAAAAGGGTTCGTTTTTCCACAAAAGAACTGAGTACAATTAAACGTATTTTCCCAGATTACCCACCTCGCACGATGATGGTAAAGTTTGTCGGTGGAGGTGTAATTGGTGCTACTTGTTTGGTTTATTTCCTTTTGAGGACATGTACATCCATTAATCCAACCAGCCAAGGTCATTCTAAAAGAAAAATCTAACTTTTCATTGATGTATACACATGTTTTTATTGATACTATTTATTTACATTGTAGCTCCAGCTTCCACACCACAATTTGCAGACAACAACAACGACACCCCACAGTGCACGCAGGGGGAACCACGAAGACGATTGCTGATCATCTACTCCCTGGACCATCCCTTGTACAAAAACATAGTCCTGAAGCTTTGCGGTTTCCTTCGTGCGAAATGTGGCACTGAGGTCATTTTGGACATGCTGGACTCCACTCGACTGGGCATGATCGGTGGCCTGCAGTGGCTCGAGTGGCATAAAAGACAGATAGAAAAATCCTCAGATAAAATCCTCATTCTGTGTTCCCGAGGCGTACAGGCCAAATGGAACGCCATGTGCACCGGCAAACGAATCCAACTTAAAGAAGACGTACTCTCGACAGTCGGGGATATGCTCGTTCCTGCTCTCTGCCTTATGGTTCCAGAATTTGTCAAATCTACAACTTTTGAAAAATACATCGTGGCGTACTTCGACGGCGTGTCCTCTGAAGATGATGTACCGTCGCCGTTTCACATCACGGTCCGGTACAAGTTGATGATACAGTTTGAAGAGCTGTTTTTTAGGATTTTGGGGAGTGAAAAACACGTGAAAGGGAGAGTTAACTGGATAGAGGGTCTGTCCGAGGGAGACTACCACCTTTGTCCCACTGGAAGAGCTTTGAAAAGGGCCATCGAGGATTTTCAAGAATATCAAATGAGGAATTCACGCTGGTTTGAAGAGGAAATGATTGAAAGTGTAGAATTGGATGTTGACCATGACAAGGCAGGACAAACTGTGGATGATAAAGCGTCTGAAGCAACAACTATTTTTGTAAGTGATTTTTGTAAGTGATCATCATTTAAGTTGTGATTCAAACCAGCGTGTTGTTAATTATGTTAAAATCATGTGGGTGTGGCTGGTGTGTTTTTGTTTTTGTTTCTTTTGTTTGGTAATGGATCTCAATTAAATGTATTCTAAATGTTGTTATCAATTTTTTATTTATTCGTAAACATGAATATTCACATATACACACAGTCAAGGGATGAAGTAGCCAAAACAAAATGAAAATTTGTACATCTCAAATAGAACAAACCTCAAAGAAAAGTTGACTTATTCAGTATACAGTTCCACAAGTCGTACCGAGGCAGTTTCTGAAACGGTCAGTGAAACAGAGACATTTTGACCAAAATGTGAATTACAGTCAGAGACTTCAAAATAATTATCAAAAATAAAGAATATGTACCTTACATATTTCAAATATTTGTAAGGTGATCTAAAATTATCACAAGGTGTATAAGTATTTTCCCAAAAAACTCACTGCCAGTAAGATACAATTTTCGTGTCACATTATTGACATAATGTCAGAGAAAAAAAGTTTTTGTAACTAGGGGTTCTGAAACTTTGACTTTTGTTTAACTAATTATGGCTTTTTGTTAAGAGTTAAATGAATCATTAAAGGAGGCTACAAAGAAAAGATTTTCGAACAATGTCATAATATTAAATATCATTAGTAATAATAATAATATATCCAAGGTACTGCAGACATCCTTGCTGTGGAACTCCAGATCAGAGCTACACACTCCATTAGGTTCTCGATCACAACCTGCTCACATGTAAAGAGACGTCTGGCTCCTTTATGATTGGAGCCGGAGCAGTTTCCACATCGCCGGCTGTAAGTCAGACCTGTTCCCAGTGTATGTTGGTCTCCGGCAAGGCAGCAGATTCTGCTCACCAATTCTGTTCACTGTTTTTATGGTCATAATTTCTAGGCACAGCCAGGGGCCAGAGAGGGTCGAGTTTGGAGACGATTGGATTACAGCCCATCAGCTGGGCTGTAAATCATTATACCCAAGACCAGACCATGGTTCATGGCTTTAAAAAAGATACCTTGCTCTAATCAGATGGGTAGAGATGTCTGTACTCAAGTGAAGAAGTTTTGGGATACTATCTCAGAGTCTTGTCAGACAGTGATATTGACAGACATCATTGCAGCATCAGCAATCATGCGGTCACTGAAAAAAGCTTGTATGGATAGGAAAGTCTTGGCATCTCTGCTCACACCAGACATTGGTTTGGGACGTATTTAGATTGGGCTGACTGCATTTTGTATGTTAAACTGACTATGGCACAACATTTGGGCACCAAAGCCCCGCAGGTTCACGGGGGTCAATGTGAGAACACCTATTCGTGAGAGCACGGAGATAGTGTATTCCAGATATGCTCTCAGCAGTGGTGGAGCAGGATGGTGTGGCAATGGAGGGATGGGTCAGATGCAGAAGACACATTTCTCTACAGGGACGATTAATATACAGGTATATCTTAACTTAACTTGACAACTGCTCCTTCAACACAGAAATGGATAAAAAAGAAAAAAAGAAAAAAACAGGATGATAGATATTCTTGTAGTTGTTTCATTTGGTTTTACATTTGTGTTTGCTCATCATTCGGTTTGAATGACCCTTTAAGATTTCTTCAGTACAGAGATTGCATATGTCTTTTTGTCTGAGGCTCTACATTTTAAGGCAGCACCACATCTGGGCTTGATGTTTCAGGGCTGTGTAAACATTCTGTGGGTCAAAGTTCAACTTCCTGAGCAAAGTTTTAGCATTTTTGTGTCTGTGGAGAAGGTAAGCACATCAACCTTTGTAGCTTAATGTACTGTATGTGTGTACGCTGGTGTTTGTTTGTTTATAGTTTGAAAATAGATGGTTTCCTTGCTTTTGCTAAACTGAATGATGTTGACATATGCAACAGGCTGCATGAGAAACTTATACCAGCTGTGGAATTTCTGTCTTTTTCAGACAATAAAAAGATTAGAGTGGACTATAGAAAACAGTTAAGTATATGCAATATTGCTCTGAATCAAATGCAAAATTGTTCATACATAATTGTTTATGTTATTCTGGGGATGCGCCCATATGGATTTTGGGATAATTAGCTGCACTAACTTGGCTGCTTATGCATAATTGAGTTCAGTAAAATTCTTTAAAATGATGTGGTCATGAATTGCCTATATAAATATCTAAATATGTCATGAAACATTCTAAACTTCATATTCTCTGGAATTCATTGTAGGAGGTTTTTGATTCTCTCATGTTTTTAGTAAAGGAGATTGATTAGCAGATAAGCAACAGCTGACTGTAGAGGATGGTGACCAGAGGCTGCGCATTGATCCTGAGACGAGGGCTTTCCACCTTTCCCAGCAGGCTTTGCAGACATGGTAAACGTGACCATTTGAATGATTGTCACTTACTGTCACTATATCACATGTCATTGTTTTTCTTAGGCAGCATCTTTCGAGTCCACTCATCTGTGTCACAAGCATTATCAGAAAACAGACCTGTGGTGGCACTTGAGAGCACGATTATAACCCATGGCATGCCTTATCCTCACAACCTCAGGTACTGCCCCTAAACCTGAGAAAGAAGCGCTCTTCTGTAATAACTTATGATATATATATATTCTTTATATTCTATATATATTTTTTTGCAGTACAGCCAAAGAGGTAGAAGCTATTATACGGGCAGAAGGAGCAACACCTGCCACTGTCGGAATAATTGAGGGTCAAATTCATGTTGGTTTGTCTTCAGAGGAACTAAACTTCCTGTCGCAATGCACGACATCATTGAAAGTGTCTCGAAGAGATCTGCCCTACGTCATCAGTCATGTGAGGATAAGAGCACATGCATCATTTTTGTAGAGCATTATTTATGTTTGCCTGTGTTTTAGAGGCTCTCTGGAGGGACCACAGTGTCAGCCACGATGATAGCTGCACATGGAGTGGGGATCCCTGTGTTTGTGACTGGGGGGATCGGAGGGGTCCACAGAGATGGAGAAAACAGTGAGTACTTATATTTGAGAATTGTAGCATGCAGCAATGAAGATACATACAGTATTATTTTTAAATGTATTCAATATACATTTTGCTTTAGGTCTGGACATCAGTGCAGATTTGACAGAGTTGGGCAGGACCCCTATTGCAGTGGTCTCTGCTGGTGTAAAGTCTATCTTGGACATTGGCCGAACTCTGGAATATCTGGTAAAATAATAATAATTCTAAACTAATTGTTTACTTCGCACAGCACTGTTCTTTTCTAATATTTACTGTATTTTGTAGGAGACTCAGGGAGTGTGCGTTGCCACATATGGATCATCAAATAAATTCCCAGCTTTCTTTTCTCCCCAAAGTGGTTTTAATTCACCTCACCATGTCTGCAACCCATGGGAAGCTGCAGAGCTTATAGGTAAACCTAGTTTCTGCATAGCCTTAATTTATTTACTGAAATCTGTGTAACATATGTCTTCAGCCAGTACCTTGTCTCTGGGACTTCAAAGTGGAATCCTATTTGCTGTGCCCATCCCAGCGGAACACGCCGCAGCAGGACAAGAAATAGAAGATGCCATACAAGTCGCTGTAAAGGAGATAAGGTAAACAACTACATCAACTGTTACTTTGGCAATGTTTCTTGCTTGAGTAATATGACTAACAATTGTTTGAAAATGGTATCTGTTTGATTTTATCAGTGGTAAACGCATCACAGGAAGAGATGTCACGCCATATATTCTGCAAAAGGTCAATAAACTTACAAAAGGAAAGTCCCTTCGTGCGAGTATCCTCCAAATGAAATTGCTTGTCTAGAAAATGTACTTTTTGCACCATCCTTAACCTTTCTTGTTGTTAGACATTGCTCTCATTCATAATAATGCTAAAGTTGGCAGTCAGATAGCATGTGCACTGTCAAAAAGTCAAAATGATAAATTAAAAAGCGCCACTAAGCAGAAGGAAAACTTGGCTAAAAAAAATGATATTGTGAGTAATTTTCAACATTAACCAAAAAAATAAATATGTGTTTGTGCCAGGAGTAACTTGTTTATCCTTTTTAGGTTGTAATTGGGGGAATAAATGTGGATTTTATTGCTAAAGGAAAAACTGACACGTTGCTTGTAAGTATTGTTGTAAGTAAACAAAAACATCGCAAATTTGTTTTTAAACAACTGTGGATTGTGTCTTCCACAGTTTGGACAAACTAACCCTGGTAGTGTTTGCCAGTCATTTGGCGGAGTAGGACGAAATATTGCTGGTGTGTACAGTGTTCTTTTTCAATTGTATGGATGAACATGAACATTATTCAACTAGATCAATAAAGTTCATCATATCTTTTTTTTCTCATTAAGACTCATTAAGTCGGTTAGGCCACAATCCCCTGTTCATCTCGGCAACTGGAACGGATACACACAGTGAAGCTGTCTTCAATCACTGCAAACATATGGTAGATCATATCCAGTTAACTTTATTGAGATTATTAATACAATTGTTTGTTTTTTTATTTACATTGTCTATTTCCCAGAACACAAGTGGTGTGGTTAAGCTCCATGATAAGAGCACAGCCACATACTGCGCTGTTATCACTGCAAGTGGAGAGCTGAGTCTTGGATTGGGAGACATGGACATTCACCAACAAATCACAGAACAATACGTATGTACTTTGTCAGTATTAGACCATAGACAACCACATTATATATTTTTTACTGTTTTAGGTGGCACAGTTTGAAAACACGCTGGCGAGTTCCACACTTGTTTGTCTTGATGGAAATCTGCCAGTCACTACTATTAACTATGTTTGTTCCTTAGCAAAAAAGCATAGTATGAATGGTATGTAGAGTAAAAATGCACATGTGGTAATTATACGCTTCTTTAGGCTTTACTTATGCTGCATTTTAAATTAATTTGTGTTTCAGTGTGGTATGAACCAACAGACTCAGATAAGGCCAGCAAACCTTTTCTCTCTGAGGCTTGGAAATCATTGTCCTACACCTCTCCAAACCTGTCAGAGCTGTGCACTATGAATAAAACATTGGGTTTGGAAGTACCTCAAGGTATTAACATATTAGATTATACCTATATTATATGAAATGTTACAATAGATATATCTAATCCAAGATTTATATTACCTTATCGAATGAATTGTGGATATGGTTTTTATGGCAGCACTACCAGAATCCCTTGATGAAGTGTTGGAACTTGCAATGACTCTCTCACGCCCCCTTCTGGAGCACCTTCACTGTCTGATAGTAACCCTGGGACCGTATGGGGTCCTTGTTTGTGGCGAAAGTAAAGATGATTCAATATACTTGCAGCCAAGAAAATTTAAAATTGTACGTATAGTTTACCAAACCTATTTTGATGTTTGTCCGTGTGTGTTTTCCATTGAAGCTTTGAAGTTACTTTTGCCTTGACAGAAAAGACAGCTGGGTGCTCTGTACTATCCTGCTCTGAATATGACTGACAAAGAGATTGTGAATGTGTCAGGAGCAGGAGATAGGTAGAGGTTTATCTACATTCATCTAATTATGTTGTCATTTTAACCTTCCTTTCACGTATAACTTCTTTTTCAGTCTGGCAGGTGCAATGATTGCAGGAATGCTCCAGGGCAGAGATGTAGACCGCTGCGTCCGAATGGGGCTGTTGGCGGCACAACTATCGTTAGCATCAGCCCACCCCATTGCCCCCTCCCTGACTATTGATGCCATTGATCACAAAAAATACCCTCACTGGACAAAGCCGACGTTTATGAAAATGTATTAAATGTATCTGTTTGGGTACGAACACTAGTGACCTCACAATAAAATGTTTGAGTTAATTATTGTTTTTCTCTAATCTATACTGAATGTAAAATGTGTGAGTTGTTAGAAATGAATCTGTCAAAAGCAGCGTGGAAAGACTACGCTACCCACAATGCACGTGCAAAAGTGCGCAGACTCAGTTGTAGTGAATACTTGTCCTACTCCCTCCTCCCTATTTTAATGCTAGCTAAGATGGTGGTTTGAGCGTAAATTGTCTCTACAATACCAAGACAAAAAAGGGGCAAAACTCCTTTACAGCCTTTACATTGAAACAGTCAACACATCTACGGTTACTTTAAGTAACTATTTATGCGGAATTCCATATTTTCGACACATTGGCTTACAGTCCCCGCCCAATTTGGAGTGAGTCCCTTGAAGTGGAGTCGAAGCTAAATACGGACAGGGTAAGTAACACTAGTGTTAGCCAAGTAGCTAACCGGGCTAGCTCGATTCAAGCCTTACTCAATAAAGAAACTCTAGACGTGTCATTTGTGTCTTTGTGCCTCACGTCTGTAGTAGTTAAAAGATGTTCAGATCGGTGTCTGTTTAAGTGTCGTGTCGTGAGGATATTGTCGGTAACTTAGAGAAGATTCGGCGTTAGCTGGTGTAGGCCGCGTCAAAAGCTTGGCTCCAAAAGCCTCGTACGATGTGATGAAAATGTAGCCTGTTAGCTACGACATATGCTAGCCTTTAGCACAAAGCAATCTGTCAGTTATAAGGCAAAAGAATTGGCCATGTATGACACCGTATTTATAATGTCAAATATGCCTTAGCCAGTACAGTTATGTTGGCTTTTTTGTTTGGTTATTATCAGAGTTGCTCCTGCATTATACCCCTCCGCAGACCGGCTTTCTGTCACTGATGGCTACCTAGCTTTGGTCAAATAACATCTGTCATAATGTTAATGCGGTGACGGCGACTGAAGTTACTGGCTCCTAACCATGCACTGGATCACGACTTCCATGTCGACTGAAATGTGCAAACAGTAGTACATCACTGATCAGCTTTTGTCTTGTACATCTTATTCCTGGATACTGTACTGACTACGTTTCCTTGTTACGGTTATTGTAATATGCCTTTATCGGGCCTTTATCAATCAGGGCTTGCCTCTGAATTCCCCATTGTGTAATTATTTACAACCTTTTATTGTTTATGTTTTGAAGCTGCACCCGACATGTCATTATGCGTTTAGTTTTACAGCCAATTGTTTTGCTTTTAGGATATTTAATTTATCAGTGCGTGTTCTATGACTATGCTAAGAGTTTATTTATTTTTTTATTAAATGTGTGAGCACATTTCTTCGATTTTTGATTAAGTTCTGTAGTTTTATGGATTGGCAATGCATTTATAATGTATAATCAACTTAGTCATTGGGAATGTTCTGTGACCAGCTTCATCACTCACCTGTGGCGCCATAGGATGTCCCACAGCCCTGAGATGAAGGACGACCCCATGGAGTGTCCCCTGTGCATGGAACCACTGGAGATAGATGACGTTAACTTCTTTCCTTGCACTTGCGGCTACCAGATCTGCCGCTTTTGTTGGCACCGCATTCGCACAGATGAGAATGGCCTTTGTCCTGCCTGCAGAAAGGTCAGAAACATGTGAAGTCGCACAACTTCAACTCACACTATGATATGTTGTTTTATGTAGAGAACTTTCATTGATTGGTTCTTTATGTAGTTAGAAAAGTTATTTCAAACCAGATCAATAATTCAAAGCATTTGAATTAATGCTTGACTTTAATGCTTTTCAGCCGTACCCTGAGGACCCTGCTGTCTACAAGCCCTTGTCACAAGAAGAGATTCAGAGGATAAAGAATGAAAAGAAGCAAAAACAGAATGAGAAGAAGCAGAAGGTGACAGAGAACCGCAAGCATCTGGCCAGTGTCAGAGTGGTGCAGAGAAACCTGGTGTTTGTGGTCGGTCTTTCACAGCGACTCGCCGACCCAGAGGTGAGTACAGTGGTCACACTAACAAGCTCACTGGTTTATGTTGTTGCTGACACTGTCGTGTCAAAACTGTTGGCATTTTTTCTTTATTAAGTAGTTTGTAGTTCTGAGTGTGTTCATTTATCTACAGGTTCTTAAAAGACCTGAATATTTTGGGAAATTTGGCAAAATTCACAAAGTGGTAATCAACAACAGCACATCTTATGCAGGTTCACAGGTGAGGTACCATAGTTCTTATACTGTACATTGAATACTACATTCATTTTTTATTTTAAACAATCAACAAGGCATTTACAATGTTTACCCATTTTCCTTAACAAATAGGGGCCTAGTGCCAGCGCATATGTCACTTACATCCGGCCGGAGGATGCTCTCAGAGCAATACAGTGTGTAAATAATGTGGTGGTTGATGGCAGAACTCTCAAGGTGAACCAATATTAACTTGTCTGTTTATCTGTTTTTGTCTGAGTATGAAAAACCTTAAATAATTGCTTGCGATTCAAACTGTGTTTTTGTAGCAGTATTAGTAACTATATTTTTTTATCAGGCTTCCCTGGGAACTACAAAATACTGCAGCTACTTTCTCAAAAGTATGCAGTGTCCCAAACCTGATTGTATGTATCTACATGAGCTTGGGGATGAAGCAGCTAGTTTTACAAAAGAGGAAATGCAGGTATGTGTGTGTGTGTCCGGGTGTACATAATACTTTATTTAAAAAATCTTAACTTTTGTCTGCACATTTTATAGGCTGGAAAACATCAAGAATATGAACAGAAACTTTTAGACCTTTGCAAAATTAATCCTAGCTTTCAACAACCCCCAACATGTGCAACAGAGAAGTCAAAAAGTAAAACCAACTCCACTCAAAGGTTTGAGTATTTTTTTAATCAATGTATATGTATATTTTATTCATGTGACCACAAGACTCCAATGAGGGACTACATACACTTGGCCCCAAGACACTTACTCTTGTTTTCTATGCTCACCAGAACCAATAATAGCAATGGGAAAGATGGTTGGCCAACACTGTCATCAGGGCATAGTAAATTGGTAAATGGCCTTTCAGAAGATCGCAAATCCCCTCCACTTCTAGACTATTTAGACCAAGAAGGCCTGACATCAGATGGGCTAGACTCAGAGCTTGCGTCTGTTCAACGGGCCGGCCTATCCCCTTTCTCTTCAAACTGTGACAGTAACAGGTAATGGTTGTACAGCCCCATGCTTTACGGTATTGTTTTAAAGAAATTAGTTGTGTATGGAATGTTGATTAATACAATTTTTATTTTTTTCCCCACTTAGCCCCAGTGACAAACCTCCAGAGTCCATCAGTTTGGTTAATGGAGACACATTACAACAGGTAATTTATGCAATATTGTTTTTTGAATGTTGTGTCTCCTCATGAAATGCAGAAATAACTTCTGTTTTTTTTTTTGTGTGTGTAGATGCCCACTTGTAACTCCCCTTCTCCTCCTCCTGGTCTAACAAAACCCAGCTTGGTGGTGCCCATCAGCATCTCAGACCTCACAGCTCGCTCTCCATTTGAGGGGGCAGCGGCTGAGTCCCAGTCCCTGTTTTCAGACAACAGTAACTTCAGACATCCAAACCCTCTCCCTGCCGGCCTTGCTCCATTCCCCAGCTCTCCTCGCGGCAACTCAGACTGGCCCATGACCCCTGAACCACAGAGTCTCTTCGCCTCAGGTACCTTCTGCTAAAATGTCACTGCTTGAATTGCTTCTTTAAAAAAAAAAAAAAAAAAAGACTTTAGGAATGAAAGTAAATCAACACTTTTATAACTAAAATTGCCTCTTCAATACCAAGGTGCTGATTCAGAATTATATCAGTTAATTTTCCACCAGTGAAAAGTTAATTTCTTATTCAGCCAGCTGCAATTGGCAGTAATTATTAATACCATACAGGGGCGACTGGCTCAGTTGGTAGAGCATTGGCCTTTAAGCCAATAAAGGGTTTGAGACCACCATGAGACCTATTTCACGACTCTCACTGATGTCTGCTGTCGTTGTGTCCTTGGGCAAGACACTTAACCTCACTTTGCCTGAAGCCCCCGCTGAAAGATCAAGGCTCCTGTGGACTCACCACCTGCAGGAGGACCAGTGAGGGGCTGGTGCTCTGTGCACTGGGTGCAGCTCTGACTGCCACCCCCCAACCCAGAAATGGATTAAGGGGAAGATAATGAATGGATGTATTAATACCATGGCGGTTTTGTTTTTATTAGTTTAATTGTAAGTTTTAATTACATATTCAGTAAATATCTGTGGGATATGTAAGGAACAAATTACATTTTTGAGGTTGTTTTGCTGCATTGCACATAGGACCAACTATCTTATTTAATTTTGTCTGTCTGGGGACAGGACTAAATCTCAGTGGGACTTCCCTGGTTTATTAAAGGTCAATAATAACAACAAATTTGACTCCATTCTACAAATAGTTGGCATTTCTGGCCCGGTCAGAACTTCGTGAGTTAAATGGAAAAAAACAAAAGAACTGGTTTTAAAACGAGAAGCAGCCTAGTGACACCGGTACCAGCTTGGTGGACAAGGGGTAATTGAGAGTTACGAAAGAGACAAAAAGAGATTGAGTAAAATGGTATAATCTTCGTTTGAATAGTTAATGTAATTTGTATTATTTTGTTTTTAGACACAATTCCAGTGTCTTCATCTACAGACTGGCAGGCAGCATTTGGCTTTGGCTCATCAAGCAAACAGCAGGACGATGACCTGGGCTTCGATCCTTTTGACGTCACCCGCAAAGCCTTGGCCGATCTGATTGAGAAAGAGCTGTCCGTTCAGGATCACAACCCGTTGTCCCCAGGACCCCTATCTCAAAGAAGTAACCATGTGCCTGGTCTGCTTCCCCTGAACCACAGCAGCTCACACCACTTCCCCAGCGGCCTTCCACGCCACCCTCACCTCCACCACAGAGCCATATACAACTCCTTCAGTTTTCCCGGGAGTCAGGCCAACCAAGCCAGTCATCAGCAGCCCTCCCCCAGACACCCGTGGATGGCCCACCCCACACGGAATAACCTCACACACTTGAACCACTCAGCCAGCCCTGCCTCACACAGTAATTTCCTGGACCTGAATCTGCCTACTCACAGCACAGGCCTGGGTGGGATCCCCATTTCAGGTACAAACTGTAACTGAGCTACTTTTGCTGTGCACTTGTGGTGACACTTTATTGTACAGTATGTTATATGCTATTGAACTTTAATCATAATCATTTGTTGATATTACATTTAATTTTTGTGACCTAAAACCATTTGAACTAGTAGCGGACAGAACAAATCACATCTCTTTTGCTGTTTCTGGGATAAAATTGTTATTTCTCGCAGAAACCTTTTTTAATATTTTGAAGGTGTTAATGGCTAGATGACTTGATTCCTGTATCCTTAAAGTAACATATTGTCAACTGAACAGTGTGTTTTCTCCACAGAAAACAGTGGCTCTATAGAGGGCCTAAATGTGAAAGAGTGGCAGGATGGTCTGAGAGCTCTTTTACCAAACATCAATATCAACTTTGGGGGTCTACCAAATTCATCATCCTCATCTTCATCGTCCTCCTCCAATAGTGTTAATCACGTTGGGGGTCCGACAGGGCCAGCAGGTCTCTCCCACAGTCTCAGCTGGGATGGTACAGCCAGCTGGATGGATCCTGCAATCATCACAGGTAAAATAATGGTTTGATTCAATAACAAGAATGATTGTACGCTGTTTTTGCTTATTGGTATCTCATGAATATTAGCTGGTCTCTTAATGCACTGTTGCTTTTGTCTTTCATCTTGCGTCTCTCTTCGAAGGTATCCCAGCCTCGGGCAACAGTTTAGACTGTCTTCAGGACGATAACCCCCCTCACTGGCTGAAGTCGCTGCAGGCCCTCACAGAAATGGATGGTCCAGCCAGCTCAGCAGTGCCCACGCCCCTTCACAGTGGCCTCCTTGACGCTCATCTTCCCATCCCGCACAGAGCCGCTGGCGGCTGGGCTCCCTACCTGCCTACTCCCACAGCCAACCCCAGCCAGTTCCACTCCCCACCCCCAGGCTTCCAGACAGCATTCAGACCCCCGGGACAGCCGGCCACAGAGCTGCTACAGAGTGCCGCAGTGGACCGCCACTGAACAGACTCGGCAAACAACCCATTTGTTCCCACCACTTTATTCCCACTCATCCTATACCTCTTCCCTGCCCCGATGCAATACGCACCAATCTGCAGAGTATAAAATTATTAACAAAGTAACAGACATGCTTTCTTCTTTTTCTCCCTCCTTTTTGTCAACTCCAAAGGCCTTTATGTTTTTTGTGGCACAAAGTTTCCTTTGTTTGCTACCATCACCACTCCTTAGACCTAGTCCTTGGCAGAATGTTGGGATCCATTGTAGCTTACTGTTAATGGAGAGCACAAAAGTACGTCTAGAACGTGCAGTTAATGTACGTCTAACTCCATAATTAGCAGTTACATTAGCTTACGAGGGGTCTGTTTTTAAAAGTACTAATGCTAAAGCATGAGAAACATTGGTGTTTGAAAGTTGAAATTGTCATGATTAGTTTGTAAGGAATGATGAAAGCTGTGAATTGCTCTGGAAGCTTTGCCCCAAAGTCCCTCGCCCTCCCTGGATTCACGGGACTGTGAAACTGTTTGCCTGAACAGCGATATCCCTTCAATGAGACAATGATTGGGGACGTCACGTCAGCAATGGCGTATAAGATTAGCTTTTTAATGACGTCCAATATAAACAGTTGGTTATAATAAATGCATAAGTCACAGGGTAGTCGACGGTGCAGGCTATGCATGGGCTCCCTGTAGGGTAAGGAAACAAATGACCTGGTGACAGGTTACTTGACCCTTATTCCCTTTTCTAGAAGGCCCTCGTGGCCTCTTTTTGAAAGGGAGAATTTGCTAAACCTCTGTATCAGAGGATAGAGCACTGCCTTTAACAGGGAGCCAGCGCTTAGGGAGATGGTGGTGCATTCTGAGAACTAGGGTTAGACTCCTACTCACAGTGCCACTGTGTGGTAGCTGCAGTAGTTAGCCCTGTCAGACAACCACCCAAGAAACAGAACCATGATGAGATTATCACGTGTCTAATACGGAGGGTTGCTAAGGGTTAACGGTCCCTGTGTTCCACCAGGAGGGTTAAACAAGGCCTTAACTTGGACAGATGAGAGTGGAGCATGAGTGATTTGAAGGTGAAGTCAAGTGGTGACTGCTGAAAAATATGCAAGACTGTATGTGATTTCAGCAGCTGTATGTGAGTGTCTACACAGCAAGGTGCTGAAACGAGATGTTACCAAGCAGTGATCCACGGACCTCTCAGCCTTTTAGAATTTTAAGATTTACCTCTATGACCACCGCCTTTTCTTTTGGAAGTCTTAAATTCAAATCTATTTGTTCTGTCTCCTCCGCCCTTGCACCCTTCCCTGTTTAACAGTATTCACATAAATGAACAAATTCATCCAGGAGAAATCTACACAGTCGTACTGTGAGTTTTAACAATGATGTGACAAGAAAAACCATTGAGGCGCTTAAAAGAACTAAAATTCTCTGCAGGTCTGGAAAAATGAACCTTAAATAAAACTGAAAACTCTGACATAATAATTAGTCTACTGTGATTTTTCTACATATTACCAGACAATGTCTACTTTACTCCACAAACATTATTTTTTTCATTCTACCCCTGAAGGTTGTAGTTCATCTGTATTTCACTAGGGGGCATAAACTATCAATTTCACTGGCAACTCATGGTTAAGTTGAAATAATGTCACAGAAGTGTCTTAGTGAATGTAATCCTGTAGTTACAGCTCAAGTCAAGTTTTCAATTAAAGCCTTTGAGGTCTCTTCTTGAGCCCAGGGCCACAAATGAGTCATATTATGGAAGTAAGAATTCAGACATGACAATTATGTTTGATTCTCAATACTTGACTCACGTTTCACCATATTTATTATATATAACTAGTACATATATAAGGGGCGACAGTAGCTCAGGTGGTAGAGCAGTGGCCTTTGAGCCTGGAGGTCGTGAGTTTGATTCCCACCATGGGACCTACTCCAACTGCTCCCACTACTGTCGTTGTGTCCTGGGCAAGACACTTAACCCCACGTTGCCTGAAGCCCCCGCTGAAAGACCAAGGCTGTTTCACCACTGACGGAGCAGCCATCTTCCTGTGGACTCACCCCCTGCAGAGGATCAGTGAGGGACTGGTGCTATGAGCAATGGGTGGCAGCTCTCATTGCCACCCCCCTGACCCAGAAATGGACAATAAAGGGCTTGAAAATGAAATGAAATTAAACTAGTATATAGTTATATATGATATAGCTATACGTTCTTAGGCACAGATTAGTAACCTCTCTTGTCAGTCTGCCCCAGGATAAATTAAATGAATAATAAGCTGTCCAAGGTTCAGCAGAGTTCTGGCACACTAAGGTTCAGACACAACACCACTTGGTCATTGGAAGCAGATACTGTCTCTTTAACCACCGCTTCTGCATCTGCCTGTGTCTGGTTTATGCCTTTATGAAGAACACAGGTTGGTGCAGGTGTTGTAGCCCTAAATGAAAACTTGTGATCGGTAGTAGCAAATCTACCTGTCCTATATGTCTCCCTAAAAGTGGAAGAGGTTTCCTCTGCCAGAAGGTAAACTGATCACCGACTATGAACAACACGACAACAGCTGAAGTGATTGGAGGATTGAAGAAACGCCTTAGCAATGGCCTAGTGAACATATTCATATATTAGGGAATGGACTGTGCCTCTTGGTGGAGGTCTATGCTCCATGAGGGCTTTTCTCATTTTCAAAGGATAGCTAGTGTCAAATATTACAGTAATATATATTTTTTGTACTTTTTTTTATTGTATAGGGAAAATTGGTTACAGGCCTTGTTAATGGGCTGGTGCTCTGTGAATTGGGTGGCAGCTGATTGCCATCCCCCAACCTAGAAATGGACAAAGGGGAAGAAAATGGATGTATGGATGGCCTTGTTATAATCAAAAATCAGAATTTGATACATTTTGAAATAAATCACAAAATGTAGAAAAAAGTGGGTCAATACTCTCTGAATGTATTGTATTTAATGTAGCTGAATGTGGTGTGTTTCATCTGGGCACACCATGCCTGACCCATCTGACCATTACATGCAGTCATGCCCATGCCACAAGAACCCTCCCGTGAGCATGGCTGCCATGGTCAAACTAAAGACAGGTATTCAGACACCTGCCCCTCTCAGCTGTAAAAGTGCAACATGAGAAATAACGATACACCACTGTTTATGACAAGACAGTTCAGGTTCTCCCAAAGGTTCCTCTTGCCTGTGCTGCCTCCCTCTGAGATAATCAAATGAGCTTCTATTGGGCGTAAAAAATCTTATTCATGAAGTAACTTTGCATTTTACTTTCCTAATATGATGAACTGGACATGTGGCGGAATCTTGACTGCAGATCTTACAGGGTTTTATTATTTTGATTTTATTTTCATCTTCCTGATATGCGGATAAAACATTTTCTTTTAATAAATGAGATTGCAGGCTATTACAATGGTCCAGGGTTATTTATTGCTGGATTCACATAATTAGATAGACAGTTAGATATGTAGATAGATAGATAGATTTATTATAATTTGGCATACACATTACAAGAACAGTTACAGTCATAGGAACAAGATTTTGATGATCAAGGCTGCTGCACCATGGGGTGCACCACCTGATTGGAGATGCACAGAGCATAACAACAAGAGACGATACAGCGTATACATAATGTATAAGATGATGGTAGGATATTTTGTCAGGGTCTCTTCTGGGCACATTCCAGACAATATGGCCGTAATTAGGAGAAAGAACAAAGCAAGGACCGCAGCATGTGCCATTGCCTTTCACCTTTTTAACTTGACCAATTTATTGTTTTATTAATATGCAGGAAAGCTCTGTGTCCATAGTGCCTCAGTCCCAGCTCCCATCATGCTTCTGATCGTTATAATCAATTTCAGAAAGAAAATAATTTTTTTCTCTGTAAAGATTGAAATTGTATACCAAACGTAGCAGTGTCAGGAACACGCACACAATGATCTTTGATATTATATAGTGGTGTTTTTGAGATAATTAAATGTGGATTTCCCATTTTTAGACTATGACCGAGGCCTTGCTCTGTGCACCTGTGTGGTATGTAGTGTTTTCAATAATATGGCTAATATGTATAAATACCAGTAAAAAAAATTACTCAGTATTAGTTTCTGCAAAATACAGGTGATATTTTGACGCTCGCTCCTTGTTTTTGCTTTTAGTGGGGACCACTGAAGTCTAGAGCAGTGCCTCCCAAAATCTGCTGACCCAACACGTAACTTAAATCCAAAAAGTAGCAACATTGTTATTCATGAGGCATATTCCCCTCCTTTTCCAGGGTAACAATGACCTTCATATTATCACCTATGTCCTTTCCCTCCTCCACATCTGAAGTCGGGATCTCCAGCTCTGGTAGTCCTCACCACCTCATCATCTCCGCACTACAGAGATGATCACTGCTCCAGGTTGCAGCAATGAAAGAATGGTTCAAATGGAGATACTGTATCTCCCTATTTTTCCTACGGCAGTCTCAGAGGACTTTACAACATTGTCGATTCATAAAAAACATAACACAGGCAATGCAATAATAAAACAAATCGCAGCCCTTGGTCCATACAGTATGTCCATCAATGTTATTAAATGTACTTCCTAGGGTGACAATTAATGTTTCTTTATTCTTAATCTGATCTTTCATTTCCTGAAAAAACAAGAAAGAAACTAACATACTTGCATACAAACATAAAGAGTTGACTAATTGTACGTGACTTAGATTGAAAATGATATAAGAGCCATAAAGTGAGCTTTAAACATAGAGCATCGGTCTCATCGTGAACAGAGTGGTTCACTGCAGGGGTTCATGTTGTAAACTGCTGAAACGTGTCCTGCCGCTCAGGAGAGGGCACGCCTGCTGCAGAGGCGGCTGCTGAGACAACAACACGCACATTATTTATCTGTTTATCATTTTGAGTGATTGGTCATCGCTTGAGACACAATAATGACAACAATGAATGATTATTTTGCAGCTTGGGAGCTTCACTTTCAAACCACAAACACTTCATTCATCTATCTAGTTCCTCACTTTCAAAACAGTTCTCTATCACTAGTCTTGATGTAATGTATTTTACGGGCTGTCATTATTTACTGTATATCAGAATTTCAGACAGAGGACCTCTCTCGCTCAGTCACTCAGCTCTCAGCTCAAAATGTCAATTAATGACTCGCAGCTCTCTTTCTACACGAATTCATAGATAGATACTTTATTGATCCCCGTAGGAGAAAATCGGGCGTCAAGTAGCAGCAAAAACACATCCATCCACACAAACAAAACTAACAATAAAAAAATTATTACATATGTATGTGTTTTCTAATGAGAAAAAGTGGTCTAATTTCTGTAATATGCTTTACTTTTACAAGAACCCTTCTACTCACTTGCTGTTAGGACAAACAAAATGTATTATTATCAAACAGTTAGGAATCCCACCTTTTAATAGTTTTACTGTATAGATATACATAAGACACTGGTACCCTGGAAAATGGGTTGAAACATTTAGTTATTCACATAATGGCCCTGAGGAGAACCCAGGCCAGCTGCCAACTGAGAGACATTGTCCCTCCATGTCCTGGGACTTCCCTGCCCCCTGTGGAACATGCCAGGAACGTCCTTCTGTGTCCAGGAGGCAACTAAATAAGTTGTCTGGGGTCAGGGAAATGGCTCTATTCAGAGCTCCTGTTGTGTGATTGAGCTCTTCCAGCCATTTATGAGTTACTCTGAGGAGGAAACTCATTTTGACCTCTTGTGTCAGCGATCTTGTTCTCTTGGTCATTACACAAATCTCATGTGAGATATAAGTGAGGGCAGTTTGATACAGCTCTGAACGCAGACGCTGCTCCCTCTTTACCACAACAGTCTGATACAGCAACTGCATCCTTCCTCAGTGTGAATAAGACTCCTCCACTCGAGAAGCCTTTGCTGCAGAGACGACTGTATCCCGACTCAGGCTCCAGGGATCACAACATAGATGGCGACCTTGCAGAGAGGAACACGGCCTGTTAAAGGGCCCCCCATGGAACTTCTGGCCCCAGTCTTTAAATCATGGCTGTCAAACCGAGGCTCGCGGCTGTATGCTGCTCTTGGTCAAGTCGAACACTGCTCTTTGACTCTTGTTCTGTGTGGTTCAAACGAAGGAGACCCATCTGAGAGGAGGATCCGCCCCCTGACCTTCAAGTAAAAACTTATAGCAATTGCACTTATATTGAGTAACACATTATTACATGAATGATTCCAGTGAATATTCCATATATGTGCAGTGCGGTTTAGGACTTCAGCTGTGTGTTCGTTCTGAAGTAGAAGGATGAAATGATGATGCAGAGATGGCGCAGTGGATCTCCGGAGATTCTCGCAGCTGATTGGTGCAAACACGAGGGCTCAATGAATGCGGTAAAATAATAATAAAAATAAATACAATTTTAACAATTCAACTGAATTGTCTAAGAGTAGCACAAACCAGAATGTAAAAATCAACACAGTAAAATGTTGCGTCTCTGTCTGAATAAATATAAGTATAATCTTTAGCTGATGGGTGATGTAGTGCCCTCTGCCTTCATTCATGGCGACCTGAAAACACAGATGTAGATTTGTCAAGGTCAGCATTCACAGATTTTATACAACTGGTGGTTTTAAAGCAGCTTTGTTATATTTGCAAAGACTTGATACATATTCGGTGCATCCACTCTAATGGAAGCTATGTTCTAGCCCAACATGCAGGGGCCACCAGTCTCCATTTTTGTTCCATGAATGTCATCATAAATGTGGCAGGAGAAACCATATACATGTATATAGCATTGAACTACATAGAGAGAGAGAGATATTGACATTGAAGCATTTACAGCTAGCTAAGAAACATATGTGCGCTGCAACATTGAAATTTCCCCACTGTGGGACAAATAAAGAATCTCTTATCTTATCTTATCATGCAACCAGCGTATACAGTCGCTTCTGCATTCTAAGAGAATCGTTGGGTCTAACATTAGTTTTCTGAAGTATCACTTTCCAGCAAAAAGAAAATCTAGGACGTTTTATATGGAGAGTTTAGTTTGGCTTTACCAGTTACATAACATTTAACTGTCATGGGGGTCATTTTTGGTTCCTGTTTTATTTTGTAATTCTGTTCCCCTGTGTCTTTTGGAGTTTTACTTCCTGTTATGTTGATTGCCCCGCCCTGATTTGTTTCACCTGTGTCTCTCAGTGAAATTCGCTGCGCTCTTTCCCTCTTGTTGTCAATCCATTGAATGTTTGTTCTTGGTTCGTCTTCAGTTCCTGTGTTTTTACAGTTTTGATTTTTGGATTCTTGGTTATTAAATTATATTTTGGCAGTTTTAAATTTTGGGTCCCTCCTCCTTTCCACCACGTAACATGAACATGTTTGGCTTAAATCATGCAATCATACAATATTACTAGTGAAAAGATAGTGGTGGCCCTCTCCATTCAAACAATCTGTCATTCTCAACTCCCACCCCTTTTCTCTTGAAATGTTGCATACTGATAACTAACTTGTTTAATTTTTTATTGTACTTAACTTCACCAATCTGTCCTAGAGTTGACTGGATTCTACATAAATTACAGTTCAGATCTAGCTGTTCCTCAGCAGAGCCTTCAGACAGTTTTATTCCTGGAGTAGACGAACATGCAAGACGACTCCAATCACCTTGATCTATTCAATAACCCTGTAACATTCACGCAATGTCATTTTGTCTTTGTCGGATTTCCAAAGATGCGGCCATACCTGCATGCGAGAGCCAGATCCCGTCAGACCTCTGAAGCTGTGCAGGGCAGTGCCTGGTTAGTGCTGTGATGGGAGACACCAGATAACAGTGGGGTGGCTGCTGCTGTAAAATGCCAAACTGTTGTAATGTCCATAGGCAAAACAATTCACCCCCATTACTTAGAATGAGTCCGGCATGTGTGAATGGTTGGTGGTGGTCAAAGGGGCTGATGGCACATCCTGGTTGCTACACTTCTGTCAGTGTGCCCCAGGGCAGCTGTGGCTACAGTCATAGTTTATCACCGCTGTGTATGGAGTGAAAAAATAATGACATGTGAAGCGTCTCTGAGTGTCCGGAAATGCGCTCTATAAAACCAATGCATTATTTTCATTATTATTAAGATGTAGGAGCACTAATAACTCAATTTAATTTTGATTTTTTATTCTAGGTCTTTACCAAATGGATGAGAGGCAGTTTGATGGTAAAAGTTCCAAAGCCAAGTGAGACTTATGACCCAAAGAGGTATATTTCAGTTCCCTTCAACCCATTAAAAGGTTAACATAGGATTATACTTTACTTGTGCGATGTCTGCCATGTTAGGCCATGTTAAAAAAAAATGCTCGACCCGGCAGATACCGTGCCTGCTGCCACCAACACCACAGAGCCTGCTTCACGCGCGGACTCATCGCAGCAGCCGGCTAAACACTTATAAACTTTAATTAGTGTTACAACAACAGTACTTTCAACAAGACTGGATTTACACAGACAAAGAGCGAGGACTGTAAGGTGTCGGAGGTCAGAGGCTGAATTATGTAATCCAATCCAATCCCCTTTATTTATATAGCACATTTCATAAACACTGATTCAAGTGCTGCACAATAAAAGACTAGTGAGAACAAATCCATATTAAAATAGTAAAATCCTTAAAAATCAAACAGGATAAAACTGTATATACCTATACACACATACACACATATACACATACTGTATGTGCATATATGTACACATTAAACATAATAATAAATCAAAATAAAGTAAAATAAAAGGGCCATACAACTCACACAGCCAGAGAATAAAAAATGGGTCTTAAGACGAGACTTAAAACTCTCCACAGAAGGGGCAGTTTGAACATGGGGGGGGGGGGGGGGGGGGGGGGGGGGGGGGGGGGGGGGCAGAGCAGAGTGTTCCTTAACTTTGATCCAGCCATAGAGAAGGCCCTGTCCCCCCTGTCTCATCCAAAGACTCGCCAATGCAAATGTAATGTCTAAGTGGCCCGGCTCCAGCCAAACTATCTTAGATCAGGTATTATTAGAGAAATACTTTTAACTTTGACAAAAACTCCCAACACAACACAATATTGTTGTGTCATGAACCCGAGCTGACCCCGCAGATGCCTGCACAGTCACCTTGGTGGAAAAATCCTGCTGGGACAATGTTGCTGAGTTGTGTAAACCTCTGCACATGACGGGGAAGATAATATTTCAGTTTTGTGGTTTTGTATTTGCCAGACTCTTTCAGTCATGATGTAACTGAAGCAGAAAGGTCACTTCGATGCTTTTTCCTTGATGTTAAGTTTGGACCTTCTCCTTGGACGAGGCCGCTGACGATGCACACTGCGCTGAAGCATGTAAAATGAAACCAATTCACAAGGACGGACAGGGTACAAGGGCAAGAAAACAATGTATTTGTTAAAGTACAGATTAATTATACATATTCTAATTCATGTGCTCACTCTAGTGCAGGGGTGTCAAACTCATTTTGGTTAGGGGCCGAATGTAAAAAATAGTAACTAGTCAAGGGCCAAAGGAACAGAACGGATTTCCTTTTCTTATAATAGTTTTTTACATTGTGGAAGTATTTTGACATGACTTTTATGTGACATGAGTTTCAGTAGTATTTCCTGGCTGATTTTTATTGTTGTTGTTATTGCTGCAAGTTAATCATAGTAATTGAAAATCCTTTTAAGGGCCACTAAAAATTGTCTTGGGGGCCGGATTTGGCCCACGAGCCTGAGTTTGCCTGTATTATAGTACAGAAGTCTGTCTGTCTGTCTTCCATACACACAAAAACACACAAACACATGCACACACACCCAGACATACAGACACACACACACGCACACACATACATACCCAGACACAAACATACACACACACACACCCAGACACACACCCACACAAGCAAACACACAAACACACACATATGCATACATACCCAAACAGACAGACACACACACATGTGTACATACCCAGACACACAAACACAAACACACACACACAACCAGACAGACAGACACACACACACACATGCATACATATCGAGACACACAAACACAAACACACACACACACACACACACACACAGACAGACAGACACACACACACATACCCAGACACACACACCCACACAGACACCCAGACAGACAGACACACCAACACAGACACCCAGACAGACAGACACACAAACACACGCACACACACACACAGACAGACAGACACACACACACACACACACACATGCATACATACCCAGACACACAAACAAAAACACGGACGCACACACAGTACTATATTATTGCAAGGCAGAAATACATTTGTGTACTTCTTGAAGGAAGGGGAAAGTATGAACATGTCCTTAATTATTAAACAAGTGTGTCAGCAAGGTCTGATGGAGGTAATGTGGAGGAAGTGGGCCAGCGAGAGCACCGTGGTGGGTCTGGACCTAGGGCTGGGGAGTTGTGAGGCCCCAGGGTTTTACTTCAAGCACAAGGATTCAATATTGCTGCCAAAGCTATAATTCCTCTCGGTGTCAGCGCCAATTACAGGGCCTTCCACATGCACCAGGTACACCTTGGTCCGAGAGAGCTGCAGCACGATTGTGATTTGAGCTCGGACACAACTTGATACTGTGCAGGACCAGCCGATTGAACCTGAGCTCTGGAAACGTTTTTTTTTTTTTGTGAGGTCAACGAGAATAGGATTTACAGAACGTGTTTGTCCTCGTGATATCGATCATAGAATATCAAGTGTGCGACTTCTGACTCAGGGAAAATATCTTGTGTGTTTCTTGTTTGTTAGTTTCTTGTTTATGTGTGATTCATTTATACTTGCTTCTTGATGTGATAGATTTTGTACTTGTTTATTATGCTAGAGTCAGAGTTTTTTGCACGTATTATGCTAAAGATGGAGATTTTATAAAGATGGAGAGTTATTGTTCATTTATCTTGTGCTGTCTGCTCCTCATTCCTACTGTTTTGTAACTGGTAATGCAACACTGACATAAACGAAAAAACGATCACTTAATCTTAATGCAGGCCAAGTCATATTTTGAATTGAGTATATATGGCGGACGACATTCACACCTTGAGGGCGAGCACAATGACAGCTGTGGAGAAAAAAACGATGCATCATGGTACGTGATCAGAGTTCAGCTAGAACAACACAATGGCGCTTGGTTCGATAAAAGGCCAATACGTCATTGACTGAGAGCACTTCGACTAGTCCGACACGCTGATTGGGGATTACCACGACAGAAGCCTCGACCACGCTTCCAGTTTCACCCGTCACGCTGAAAAGAGACTGACACCTGTCTCTGGCAAATTCTGTAGTTTCACAAGAATATTACAAAAGAAGTCAAATTGTGGATCCGGTTTGATTTGCAATTTGTTCTTTGTCAAATGAGGGAACAGACAAGACTTTTAGCCCGCTCTTTTGGGGGGTTATGGCTCCAGAGGGGAGGAGCCTATTGTTACACATTTTAGTGTTGGGGAGACCTGTGCAGACATTGGGAGAACATGCAAACTCCACACAGAAAGACCCCATGTTGCGTTGGAATCAAACAAACCCAAAGGTCCTGGATTTGAATCCCAGTCGGAACCGGGCCTTTCTGAGTGGAGTTTGCATGTTCTCCCCGTGTCAACATAGATGCTCCGGTTTCCCCTACCGCTAAAACATGTACAATAGGTCTGGCATGCGCCTCCTGTACTGGTGACCTCACTCCCATCTCTGTGTGGAGTGAGAGACAAATGCCCACAATTGTAAAGTGCTTTGTGACTCTGCTCTGTGAAAGGCGCTATATGAATAAAGATTACTTACATACTGAAATTTGTCTTCCTGCTACTGCACGGGTGTTCAAAATGAGATGTAGGTTACTCAGGTTTGCCATTAGGTTTGTATTGTATCCAGGGATGACAATGTTGATGAATCAGTCATCGGTTGCCCAGAGCTTATATATCCATCTGCCCTTCTTCCAAAGTCAGTACCATTCAATACATTTGTAATAAAAACAAATGTCCTTTTTTTTTTTTTTGAACAATCAGATAATTAAACAAACACCATGTGAGGTGTTAATGTCCAGTGTGTGGCCCTTGAGAGAAAGACACAGAAAGAGTGAGCAATAGAGAGTCTGGATGGGCCCGGCGCCAGCATACCCCACCCTTACTGCTGCCTGCAGAGCCACAAGTACTGCATTTCCTGAGGGCAATGCAGAGGACAAGCAAGATACGGTTCACTTCTCCTAAGGTCATGGGTGTCTGAGAGTTGGACTGTGGACAGACAGACCTTTGGGCACTATTAACCCAAAGATAATATATAGCATTGTCTTAAAAACTCCTCTGTCGCGTATTGGTCATTTGCAGACTTTAATGTATAGCAAGTTACATATATATGTAATATAGCAGCTTTTTAATGTATTACTTTGCATTGCTTGCAGACAGGACAGATCATGAGTGACTGATTAGGCTTGAAAATAGATAGACAGACAGATAGATACACGAATAAAATAGTTCACATTGAATTGTAAAACAAGTATTTGGGGAAAAAATCCATTAAAATGTCTTAAATGTTCATGTTCAGGCCTATATTATATTATCCATATATCTAATCTATTATGTTGGACTTAAGAAGAAAATTCATTGTCTATAACTTAATTTTTATTGGACCAAGAGAGGTGTGTAACAACATGCATGACAGTAGTATAAGCAATCCTCCCCTGGGACGTCCGGATTAGCGTGGAGCCATTACCTTAGCCTTGTGAATCACTGCTAATGGTCAGAGTGAAGGGATAGGATGAGGTAGTAGAGGACACATTAGGATTGAGACCGTGAGTTGGGTATAACAGTGCACACTGCAGCACTTTTCCACTGTTGGCGCACTACACTCTTCTTCTGCAACACAAGGCTCTTTGATTTATGCCAATCCGTCAGCCCACACACACAAACTATCATCCTGGTCATTGGAAATGAGTGCACACCAGCAGATCCTTAAAAATTTATTGAAGTTTATGTTGATGAAAACTAATGGGATAAAACAAAACATGTAGTTACCCTTGCATAGATTGCAGACCATGCCATGTCATTATCAGACGAACAACAAAATACAACTTAAAATGACAATGATGGCAATGTCATTTGACAGTCTGTTTACTACAGCCGCCTAAAACATCTGGTAAACAAAGAAAATCAGACGAGTGTTGTACTGGAGCGAGGCTTGTGGTGAGTGAGGCACACACTATCCCAATATTCCGTTGTGATCCATGCCTTTTTAGCAGGCAAAGAAAGAAAAACCCAAGAGCTCCTTTTTGAGACATTATTACACTCAAACAAAGAGTCTGTACAGTAAGCTTTGTTCCAGTAATAAATATTGTTTGAGGAACTAGCCCTTGATGTCCTTGCCCACATTCAAGAGCCCAATACGATGTCTCCTGTGCCAGTGCACATGAAAGCAAGGGTTTCTTCAGATGACGTATATTTTATCCACTGTTTGAAAGGCTAAGCTCATGCAGTCTTCTCTTTACCATGCAGGTTGTGCAGTTTGAAGAGTAGATTCATCTTTAGAAGTTGGCAAGATGTAAACATGGTATTTTTCACATTCTTGAATATTTTGCTTAAATACTTATTTATAGGCTACTGGGCCGCCCGAGAAGCATTGTCTTTGATAGGTCTTATCATATGGCATAGCCAATATATGTTGCATTATTAGAGTTTCACTATTGATATTGATTGAAAGTATTTTATTTCATGTTAAAGAAATAGACAACGTGGTTGGATCTATCTTATTGAAGCTAAATGGCGTTGTCATCCTCAAGCTTGTTTACAAAAGCATAATGAAAGTCTAACACATATTTAGGCTCGTCCAACCACTCAGAAAGATTGAACCTTATTGTGAAGCATGTCCTCCATATGTTACGACTCTATTACATACAATTGAATGGAGTCAGTCTTTAAGCCATCTCTTCACTATTATTATTGTTTTTATTCATGTCCAGAGTCTAGGCTAGCGCTTGCTCTTGTTCATAAACAAATATTTCATTGTAGCTAAAAGTGGCTAAAATGTGTGCACATGTAGTCATATTGCTGAAAGAGTTCACTTCATGAATGTTTATGCATAGCACCATCCAAAGATGCGTTGACAACATTTGGAGCAAGCTTACAAGCTCCTTCTCACTTCTCACTAAGGTGTTTCTTTCAGAACACACCAAAAGGGTAAGTATCTGTCAACAAAGAGCATGTGACTAAAGCAGAATGTTTAGCGGCTGCATTTTTAGACTTATACAAAGTTATTCCTATTGTACTATACTATATCTATACTAGCATTATATAGATATTGTTGATGATGCAGATGTCCATCTGCTGTTCTTTTTTTCTCATGTAGAGAGATACTGACTTTGAAACAAGGTTCCTAAACTGTCACCTTGCCTGAGGCATAATACAGTACAGAGATCAACTCCACCGAGCACCTCAAACTAATGACGGTCCACACTTTTCAAAACACACAGCGACTGGCTCAAGGATGTAAGATCAAGCCCCACTAACAAGACATCACAATAGCTATGATCACAGTCCTGTGTTGGAGCAATGACATTCAGGAAGCACTGCAGGATGTGAGGAGAGTGTACAGTACAGTCAGGTACACAATACATTTAACCTAGAGCTGTACAACAGCTCAAGTTTTTCAAGTACTCATTGTGTTAGTTTTAAGTCTTAGAGCCCGTAAAGCTTAATGTAAAGAACAATAAAGAAACAAATGTGCTTCAAAGGCAAACAAAGATACAGAAAATATGAAACAGACTAACCACTAACTTTTCAATAAATAATGCCCTTGGGACTGACATATTAGACACAACTTCTGTGTTGGAACAAACAAACTAAACTAAACACACATGGTGAAGGCAACTAACTGCACTGCTAGTTAACACTCTGATTGTGCGAAGCGTTTTATGAAAGCAGCAATGAGAAAGTGATATATGTGATGAGATCATAGATAATAAATTAAAAACAATATTGATTAAGGAAGATCACATTCAGTACTGCAGTACTCATGACTGCAGTTTACACTTTTGGTTCCATTTTGCATCGTGGGAGGAACATGCACTGAAGCTCCTCAGCAAGTTTGCAATAGCTTCACTGGGGAAGAAACCCTGAATAAATATATATTGTGGAAAAGAAATATCTGCAGCAAAGACACAAAACATTTGTTGATGGATTTCTATAGGTTTTTGTGTAGGCAATTCAAAAACGTGAACTCCTGCTTCATGGATTACTTAAGTGCATGATAGTCATGAATCAATGCTTGTCCGACCTCAGTCACCTGCTGTCAAACTTTCTCAGCTTTCTCTAAAACATCTGTTTAATCCACTAATACAGACAGGAAATCATTTTTGCTTTACCAGTGTCTACCAATATACAAGAGGCACTTACACTGGGCCTGTTAGTGAAAGGGATAAAGGCACTAGCAACTTATGTAAAAAAAAAAAAAAATCAAATAAAAATAATAATGAAAAAATCTGTGTTTTGAAGTCCTTAAAATGCCCCACTTTATAAAATAAAAACTGAACAATAATTGATGTATGCAATAGTTGTTATTTAAAGAAAGTGCATGCACTGTACTATTGACATAATATTGGTATTTGGAACCTATTGTGATTATATGCATTTAATAAGTTGTACCTTGACTACTTTAAAACTACAATCTGCATCCTCAGCATCTGTTGGAATATATTTTTCACAATTCATTCAACAGTAGAGTTTAGTTTCCTTAGTTTCCCTGACAAAGGACATTGAAGTGCCTGAATTGCAACAAGCTGTATATTCATGTCATGCATTAAATATACCAGGATACAAAAGTACCTTAGTGGATTGATCATAATGCAGATTATTTTGTCATGCTATGATCTCATCTACGTACTGATTTCTTAAGATTTATCATTCAATTTTACATGTAAAGCCAAACTTCAATAAAAACTCATCCAGTGCACTCAATACTGTATGAAAGGAGATGAGGAGACGTGGAGGCAGGAATCCAAAAGAATATCCTTTCCATTGTGGGAAAAATGTTTCATGCGTGGCAATATCAAAATGGAAAGTCTGGTCATGCTAATGGGAAGCTCACTTTTATCATTGTGCCGTGATGCATCAAAAGGGCATGGCGTTGAATCACTTGGTGATTTCATAACTATGTATCTGCTTGAAAACAGCAGCATTGCAGATGTCCCAAAAAGCAAGTAGAACTCAGTCCTTACATCCAACAGAGAGACAGTCTTCCTCCTTTAAGGTGCTTGCTGTGTAGTTGATCGTGGAAGGGCAGGAAAGGTAGAGTACGGTGAAGAGTCACCTAAATGTCTTCATACTGCAGATGTTTGTGTCTCTGCAGATGTGTCTGCTACAATGTGCAACCTGTAGAAATTTAATTTCATGCATAAAATTTCATCTTTCGTCTGATGGGAACGAACAAGCTGTTTTTGAGTCCTCAATGGCGTTCTTGATGGATATGCTTTCTGATTAAGTTATTATTTATATATGGTGAATCTCAATAATTAATTATTCTATCTACCTATAATCTAAACTGCTGCTTTTCTGATTGACCATTCTACTTAGTTTAGCATAGTAAAAGCCTTGAGCCACAAAGTGCAGGGCAGATTAATAATTGGCTCTTGTATGTTTTTTAATACTTGTCTAAACATCAGTAAGCAGCTTGATTTTATTCACACAGTTTTGGTTAGCTATAGTGCAATTACCAGTTCTTAGATTTGCCTCCCTAAAGTTGTCAATGCTATTATTAATGTCTCCATCAATCTCCATGTATTCAGATTTGCTGACAGTGGATGAACTACGGCGACTTGAATTAGACTCTGAAGGGATGTTGGGGTTGCTGACTTTGAGTAACTGAGCCTGCTCTTCTCCCTCTGTTTCTCTGTGGTAGAAGTAGTTGAAGTTAGACACAATGACAGGGACTGGTAGAGCAATTGTCAACACTCCAGCTATGGCGCACAAAGAACCTACAATCTTGCCTCCTATAGTGACAGGGACCATGTCCCCATAGCCCACAGTTGTCATAGACACAACAGCCCACCAAAAGGCATCTGGTATACTGCCAAACATGGACCCTTCCTCCTCTGCCTCAGCAAAGTACACAGCACTGGAGAACAAGATAACTCCAATGAACAGAAAAAAGATCAGCAATCCCAGCTCTCTCATACTGGCCTTGAGAGTCTGGCCCAAAATTTGCAGACCTTTTGAGTGCCGAGACAATTTGAAGATCCTAAACACTCTGACCAGACGGATGACTCTGAGTATGGCCAGAGACGTAGCCTGCTCCCCAACGCCCTCGGTTTCAGGGTCTTCGGCCAACTCAGTGCCCAGTGTAATGAAGTAGGGGATGATGGCCACTATGTCAATCGTATTCATCATGTTCTTGAAGAAGGCAGGCTTGCTTGGACATGCCAGGAAGCGCACTATCAACTCAAAAGAGAACCAGATAATACAGAGTGTCTCAATGATGAAGAAGGGATCTGTGAGAATATTTGGCTTGTAATATACAGTAATGTTCCCCACAGTCTCCATCCGTCCCCTTGGATCCTCTTTGAGCTGTGGTAATGTTTCCAAACAAAATATAACTATTGAAATGAGAATGACCATCACAGAGACGATGGCGATCCCTCTGGCGGTGCTGGAGCTCTCAGGGTGCTCAAACAAGAGCCAAACCTGACGCTGAAACTCCTTCTCAGGTAAAGGCCGCTCTTCCTCTTTGATAAAACCCTCATCTTCGCGAAATTTCTCCATAGCTTCTGCACCCAGTTCATAAAACTTGATCTCTTCTGAGAACATGTCTAATGGGACATTCACTGGTCTTCGAAGGCGACCTCCAGACTGGTAGTAATAGAGGATAGCATCAAAACTTGGGCGGTTCCTATCAAAGAAGTATTCATTTCTTAGAGGGTCAAAATACCGCATCCGTTTTTTTGGGTTCCCAAGCAATGTTTCTGGAAATTGAGAAAGAGTTTTCAATTGGGTTTCAAACCGGAGACCAGCTATGTTGATGACCACTCTTTCGCAGCATTCATGGTCATTGTGGTCTGGGGGGTAAGTGTCCTGAGGGTGACCGGGGACAGCTGAGGTCTCATCCATGTTGTCTCCTGCTACTACGGTCATTTTGGGAAGAGGAGGAGTTGCTGAGCAGGGAAACAGGTTAGTCTTTCAGTGTGCAAAAGGTTTTTCCACTCCTCAGCTTCCCATAGCACTTAGATAGTTGGAGAGTCCCCAGAAGAGAGGGGCAGGCTGACTACTCTGCCTCAGTGCGGCTCCACTGCGGTTCTCGCTGACTTGACCATTGCTGCTCCCCAGTGCATCTGCTGCCGCTGCTCGCCCGTAACACAGAGAGGGAGGGAGAGAGGAAGGGAGGGGAGAGTGAGAAATAATGGGATCAAACAGGCAAGATTACTGCTGCCTCAGCACTCTCTGTACTTTATTTATTTAATAACTGGCTTCTCTCTGCTACAATGTACAGTGTTTACAAAAAGATAAAGCATGGACCATGACTGAGCTACCGCAGTCCTCTGCCTTTAAACTGTATCATTGAAGAATTGAATTTTCTTGAAAAAAGTCATTTAAGTCAGCTGTAAACACCTAATGTCTGAATCTAAACACTGACACGTTGTGTGTGTAAATGTACATTACTGCATTGTACATGAAGCTTCTCAGTTAGCTTAATCAACTGTAAAGTGACGCATACATTTTTTTTACAACTCTCTATGAAGACTCATCAGCATAATGCAGACATTTGTTATTATGAGCTATGTGCACATATAGATGATCAGCAATTCTTACCATTTGATGTTAGAGGCTAAGTTGACGTTCGGGTTCTTTATCGCCTACTGGAGTAAAAGCATCCAACCGCAGGACTCCGGCTGCTGACATGTGCCAACTTCACATCGTACTGTGTAGAAAAGCCGCGACTGTGACAGTCATGCTGGTCCTGCCCGGCGTCCGGACACACTGGAATGCAGCGAAAGAGTCAAGAGACTGCAAAGCAAAGTCCCGTACAGAGCATAGGGAGAACCGCAGCGTCCGAACACAGCACTGACAGGCGCAGGAGCAACTCCACTTCTGCAAGTCAGGGGGGAGATACATTAAGGGGCAATGAGCAAGCCCTTGACATTTGCAGACATCACCGCATCAGCAGAAATCTGCTGCCACAATATAGAAAAGCGCCGTTGCTTTCCATGAAAAGCGCAAGAAATCTGGTACTTTGGACACTATGGAGTAGTGCCCTGATGTATCCCCGGCAATGTCAGACATGTTTTGTTGTGCACTGAACATGCAAGTGCAAGGAAGTGAATGGAGCGAGAGTTGGAGGGGATATGCGAGGAGAGGAGGGGGTCGAAGGAGGAGGAGTTGGAGGCTTTCGACGCAATGCAGACTGGCTCCACACTAAAGCACGCCGCCACAAGTTCTCCCACACGCCACACAAACAGCACCAGCAAAACGCAGAAAACGATATTCTGGTTATCTGCCGATAATACGTCGGAGTGCCATTATGTATGCGCTCTGTAATTTAACTCTTACAACACATATTATCGTTTAATTAGTCAAGAAAGACTACAAGGTTTAGTTTCAGCACCAGGGACAGCGATAAGGGACAAACGCTGTGTTTGTGTGCAGGCCCATATTTATGTTGGCTCAATATTGGCTCAGAGGACATTATTAACTGACCAAAAACAGGTGAGGAAAAAAAATATCTTTCTACATAAATCCGTCTGTAGAAAGATGAGGCATTATGCCTTAGAGTTTATACAGCTTGAACTCATTTTGTTGTTTTACTGTAAGACCACAAAAAGGAGGGACTTTTTTAAGAAAAGGAAGAGTGGGACTTGCACAAGCAATAATATGTCTGAGTGCATAAATAGGATTTGAAAATGTCCTATTGAATGGGAAATGCACACGTTTTGCCCTAACAATTAAATTGAGCTCGATCACTTGAGTGTAATCTTCTCTCAGTATATTCAGATATTCTGTAAGGGCCACAGAGCTATGTTTCAAGTAAATAAACAACGTCATGAAGTCCAAGAAAGCTCCAGAGAAGGAAGTTGTGGAGAAGTTTATAGCATGGTTGGGTTATAAGAATATGTCATCTCTCAGAGCACTGTTTAATCTTTCAACCAGTAATTAAATAATGAACAACTGCAAATCTACCAAAACTCTGCTGTCTGCCCAAACTCACAGCTCCAACAATGACACTGATCGCAGATGAAGAAAGGCGCCAATGTTTTTTCTGGAGGAGCTGCAGACATCCACAGCTCATCTGGGGGAATCGGAACATGGGCATATATTGGTGATACACTACACAAATCTGCCACTTATGGTTTGGAGGCACTAGGCCAGTGTTGAAATAAAGACACATAAAGCCATGGAAGAAGATGCTGGTCAGAGGAGACCACATTTTGGCCCAAATACAAAATAATTATGTAAAGTTCAAAACTAACACGGAGAGCGACAGTTTCAGGACTGCTTTTCTTCAGCAGGGACAGTCATGAGTGTCAGGGTTGATGGGTATGTAAATAGAGCAAAATACAGGACATTTTGAGACTGGAGTGAGTATTTCCCTGCTGCCAAGGCTATTTCCTGAAACAATGACTTTACAATAAAATAGTAAACAAAACATATGTATGTGTTAGAATGGACCAGTTTAAGCCCAACCCATTTGCCTACATAATGAAATGAGTACAATGCCATGGTAAAACCAGGCTCCGCCCAACCCTAATTCAAGTGAAAATATGTTAAAAGGGGCTATTCGCAAACACTTTCTATCTAATCTGAGCTGTTTTGTAAGGACGAATGGGAATAACTTTTGGCCTGTAGATGTGCAAAGCTTGTAGAGTAATACCCAAAAAAGACTCTCTGGCCTGCAGTAAAAAGCAGTTCTACAAAGTATTGACCCAATGCTAAAGGACCACTGATGCAAGCCCCACTTTTCATTTTTTTATTGTTTTCAAAACAATAAAACAAAATCATGTATCATTTTGTGCTCACAGTTGTGTGTTGCTTTGTTGTGGTGTTATAGTAAAAACACAAAATAAAACCTTAATGTTTGTGGTCTTTAACACTCTTTTTCATACATTGAAGAAGAGTGGATTCCTCAGGCCACAATTAACAACCTGATCAACTCTACGCAAATTGTTGCAAAACGTAAAATTTCAGGATGGCCTTTTATTGTGGATGGTAGAGACCTGGGAACCTCAGGGTTCTGTGCAATATCTTTGCTGTTGAATGTTAATTTCTCTATCATAAGCTGGAGGGAACTCATGATAGAGAAGGGGGCTTATGTCCATCCAACTGGCCTCACCCCAGACTGCATTTAACCACATTTAACCATAACTACCAATGCAGGACCTCCACATCCTATATGTTCACCTCCAAGATTACCTGAGACCAGCCTCCCAGGCAGATGCTGTAATATTCGGTTGGCATAACCAATAATCTGTCAGAGAACATCTGAGCTCGGTTCATCATTGTGACCGACGTGAGTGGGCAAAAGCTTACTTGGCCATAATGGAGAGGTGTTCTCTACACAGATGAATCCCAGTTTTCACTGGTAGACAGCATGAGTGGCTTTGTGTGGGCGAGCGATTTGCTGATGCTGTTGTGGATCGAGAGGCCCATGTGGCAGTGGGGTTACAGTAAGAACACAATTGTGAAGTAGGCATCTGTTATGAACATTACATGTAGGGCATTTTGAGCAGAGAGCAATCCTCAGGCCTTTGGTTGTGCCATTTATTACTTATCTATCTACGACCGGCACCTCATGTTGCAGCATGAAAATACAAGAATCTCCACACAATACAGTTCTGACATGGTCATTGTACTCACTGTATAACTCAATTGGGCATGTTTGGGATGTTCCAGTTCCTGCTAATATCCAGCCATTTCACAATTTCTCACAGTCATAGTCATGAAAAAACAGCAAAAGAAACTGACATAGAAAAAGTTTAATTTACATTTGGTATAAATAAACACATATTCTCCTTGAAGGAGCTCATTGACTTAGGTTCTTTGTTGGAATTATTGCTAAAGGACTCGTGCAATGAAATCATGTGAAATTCAAATGCAAATGCAGGTTGTGCCTAAATGCGTTTAGACCATGGGCAACATAATGAAACTTATTTATCAGGCAAGTTAAAGGAAGAAAGAGAGATCGTGCACATCACGACTGCAATTCTCTTTCTCGTTTACGGGATCCTTGTGGCAGTACGTGATCTCCCTCTAGTGGTACATGCAGTTCAATGATCCGATGGTTTCATGCTGATGTGGTATTATTCGAAAGGACAAATACAAGAGATATGGTGGCACTTATTGCTTTCTGTTGTGTTCTGATACTTGACTTAAGACAATACTAAAAGATTACTGGCAAGAATCTGATGCTCTCACACTTCTATGTCTGTCTGAACTGCAGCGTGCATAGACGTGTTCTGCCACAGGGAGGCGCTCAAAGCGTTTGGATCAGCACTTATTTCAGCGATGGAACTAATATTCAGTTTGATTACAGGGGAAAACACATGACATCCATGGGCAAAAAGCACTCGGATAAAAGTTAGTGTGTATTTACGATTTGAATTAAAATTAAAGATATAGTTTTGATTATTATGTATGTACTTCCTGGTTGAAGAGGAGCAAAAGATATGACAGGTTAACGAGGGCTAAACAGGTCTCATTTCAGTTTGTATTGCTCTATTTAGGTTATGTATGTTGGATTTTACAAATATTTAGTTTTGTCTAACAAATTAATAAGTTGGGGAATAGTAGTACGCAATTTACATGACATCCCAAATGTACTGATGTAAAAGTAAAATAGCTTTTACTGTAAAAAATAACCAAAATATAGATACATGAAACTGTTATTGAACCTGTGTACATAGTTACTTTCCACCGCTGAAATGATCATCAAGATTTATTTATATGTAATCATCGACAGTAAAATATATTGTACAATGACTATCCACATAGATAATGCAAATTTGAAAATGTTGACATAATGAAGTGTATTTTCCCCCAACTGAAACCAATAGTGGGGTTGTGACAGTGGTTCTTATTCTTTGAGGATTGCCCATTTAACACAAAACTTCACTGTCATGAGGTTTGACGAGGAGGTATTGCAAATGTTCCTTATAATGCTCCCCAAACCAGGTTCCAGGTACCCCCTAACCCAGGCATATTTACAATTTTCCCATTTCAATAATGAAATACTATTGCAAAGAAAATGTACTGCGGGAGGCCGGGGGAGACGGATCAAGAGATAATGTGATGTTAGCTGCTCTTGAGCGCTGGGTAGAAAAATACTGGAAAAGAACCTTGTCTTACACACGTCTGAGATGCAATCAAAAAGAGAAATTCGGAGACACTCTAATACCTTAAATTTGAAGTCCTCGTGGCATAGAGGAAGAACCTGTGTGTCATCCATAAATAAAGGACTTTTAGTCGACCAAAAATGGTCCCTGGACTCCCGGTTGGGTAACACAATCTAATTATATGAACCTCTACAAAATGCCTGAACCTAAGGATAGCAAATGGTATTATTGAGGTATTTTTTGCATCGTCAAAACAGTGCCCACTGCCTGCACTCACATGAAAGGGTGTCTCAAACAACAGTCAGTATCCCTGTGTAGGTTTCTTCACTGGTTAGAGCTGGGTAGGTCAATGTTTCCCGGTCTCCTTCGTTGTGATAGGACTCTGACTTTGAAAGTGACTGTGTGCTTTTAATAGAGTCAGTATCGGAAAATGATGGCTGCTCTTGTTGCCCACATGTCACATGCACATACTGGACATTTTCTTCTTCTTCGTTTTCTCGATGATAGAAATAATTGAAGTTCGACACTATTACTGGGACAGGAAGAGCTATTGTTAGGACCCCTGCAATAGCACACAATGAGCCAACAAATTTACCCCCAATAGTCGATGGACACATGTCCCCATAACCAACTGTTGTCATAGTCACAACTGCCCACCAGAATGCATCAGGTATACTGGAAAATCCTGACTTTGGGTCCTCCACCTCTGCAAAGTAAACTGAACTGGAGAATAAGACAACTCCAATGAGAAGGAAAAAAATCAACAGGCCGAGCTCGCGTAGACTTGCGTGAAGCGTCTGTCCGAGGATCTGAAGACCTTTGGAGTGTCTTGAAAGTTTAAAAATCCTGAAGACACGCACCAAACGAATTACCCTCAGAATGGCCAAGGAAGCTGCTTGCTGACTACTACCTTGGTGCTCAGCCAAGTCAAGTCCCAGTGTAATGAAGTAAGGTGCTATGGCTACTACATCAATCAGGTTCATGATGTTTTTGAAAAAAGCAGCTTTGCTAGGACATGAGAGAAATCTCATTGTAAATTCAAAAGAAAACCACACTATGCAAAGTGTCTCCACCATGAAAAATGGGTCCGTGAAAGGATTCTGCACCTTGCTCTGCGAACTACCATTTGCATTGTTTTCTTGCAAGACAGGGATTTCTCTGAATTCAGGTAAAGTCTCCAGGCAAAAAATAACAATAGAAATAAGAATAACCATAACAGACACAATAGCTATTGACCGTGCAGGTCCTGAACTCTCTGGATATTCAAATAAAAGCCATAATTGCTTCTGGAATTCATTAGTGGGCAGTGGGCGGTCTTCTTCTTTAGACAGGCCCTCATCATCCAGAAACATCTCTGTTGCCTCTTGGCCAAGTTCATAGAACTTTATTTCTTCTAAGAAAATGTCCACTGGAACACTGACAGGACGCCGTAATCTTCCTCCAGATTGGTAATAGTAGAGTATACCATCAAAGCTGGGTCTGTTTCGATCAAAAAAGTACTCATTTCTAAGTGGGTCAAAGAAACGAATCCTTTTATTTGGGTTTCCCAAAAGTGTTGTGGGGAACCGAGAGAGGGTCTTCAGTTGTGTCTCAAAACGCAGACCTGAGATATTGATGAACACTCTTTCACTGCACTCTTGGTCTGCTGCCTCCAAATCCACTGTATCTTGCAACACAGGAGTGACGACCACAGTGTCGTCATGATTCTCCTGGGACACAAGAGTCATTTTCACCACTCACAGGGCAACGGCCACTTATTTCCTCAGCGCCCTTTGGGCTGGTGTCCTCCAAATTTCTCCTCTCATGTAGCCTATAGAAGTAAAAACCAGTTATACTCCAAAGATCCAGCGTGACTGCTAATCCAACGTGATTCTTGTTCTTTCAAAGAGTCCGTTTGTCCGAATGGTGCTCTGTTTACTTACTAACAGAGCACACAGATTCTACTTGCATGAGCAACACCGATGACTTGTGGTGGCTATCATATTCACACCATTTTAAACTCCGAAGCCCTCCCCGGGTTGGCACACCAGACGCTGTCTCTGTTGCTGTCCCTCTTACGTTAGTCGCAGCTCGGACCAGATGTTATGGTTTAATTCATCTAAAAAAGTTCAACACTATAGCTTCACCGTAAATTCCAGGGAAGAAAAGAAACATCTTTTCAAAAGGCTTGAGAGAAGTGCAGTCTGTTACCCAGCAGGTCCCTCATTCATGAAATCACAAGGCTATTCTTGTCAGAGGGAACCTCCAGCACCCAGCCCATGGGTACTTTGGGTCACAGTCCACCATTTTAGAAACCTAGATGTACACAGTCATAATGGTGTATCAGCTATCCCAGTCAACTGTAAAAATAGCACTGAGGCGATAATCAGCATTACTAAAACCAACCTGGATGCTTTGCATTATAAAATAGATGAAGGCAATTGTTCACAGGCGCCACATGCCATCACAACTTTTTTCTGAGAATTTAATTTCCAAGAGATTTATATAATTTTTTTCAGCCGGGTTAACTCCAGGATCCTGGAGTTTGGCCTTGTCCTTGCTGAACAAAGGCTTGGATATCAGAGTCAAATGTCAGCGTCAGGACATTGCTGCTAATGTGTTAGCATACAGCCTTCGTTACAAAGTGGGTGGACTGGTGGGGATAAGGCAAGGTGCCCCTTGACCGTATCCATGGAATCAGCAATAACAAACAAGCTGTGGAATTGACACCCGGGTGTTACATGTTAGACAAGCCACAAAAGACATGAAATGCACAATTTCTAAAAAAAGACCCACCTGTCCCCTGAATTGTACTGAGAAAGGGTGTGTATACTGTGCATGTTCTGTCTTTACATGCACATGTATTTATGTATATAACCGACTGCATGTAAAACCACATAAATATGTGTGGGGGTGCGTGACAGCAAGGGAACACTCGAGTTATTAATGGCTCCACTTGTGAATCGAGGAGACCCCATGTAACATGATAAGGTGGATTTACTCCAAGCAGAGCAACTTTTTTGGATTCTGATTTGGTGGGCTTATATGGTCTCACTTTTGATTCTTTCGTTATAATCTACAGTAACAAATTAACATTATGTAATGCATAATCTGTCAATTCAAGCTGTTATAATATGTTCATTAGACCTTCTTTTGATGGTTTAGTTTGAGTTTCTACAGCTTGTCTAAATATAAGCACCAGATGTACCTCTGCTTTTTACAGACATGAGGTCATCTACTGGACTTAGGGCTAACATCCTGCACATCCAGGTGAAGCCAAGTGTTTAGAAAGTCCTGGAACATCTTTATAAATGCCGACTTCACCTTTTTCATGCATTACATTTATGCATTCACACTCACTTGTGGAGTAGACTTTCTACTCCATCTTAGATTTTGTCTTAATTTCTGGTAGTTGTTACAAACTATTGGACTTTTGATGCTCCCCAACCATCAAATAAGGACACAGGGTCACTGTCTTTTTGTGTGATATCCTAATGCAAAAGTAAAATATCTGCATCTATTTCTAATGTGGCCTGCTTTTATTGCATGAGGCGGTGCCAGGGCCAGTCTACGTTATACTCAGACATGTTCCTCCCCTGAGGAGTGAGAAGGTGCAGCCTTATTACTGCAGCTCCAGCTTTATAGAAGCCAAAATATTATAACAACTGGGGCAGTGCCCTGATCACAGATTTTCTATTTGCAAGACAAATTGTTTGATTATGAAAGATTAAATGAAATTCATTACATTTTAGAGATATTGAATATACATTATTTCGATTCATCATCAAGTGTGAAACCTGGGTTAATATCTTTCCAGCACCATGGTCCTTGTCTCTGGAACAGCCTGCCGGAGAAGCTCACGCCAGCAGACAACGTTTATATTTTTCCAGAGCAGGCTCAAAACACACCTCTCTAGATTAGCTTTTTTTAATATATTGCATATTTGTTAGTTTTATTGCATATTTAATACATCTCTCTCTTCCCAGTGTTATCTCTGGAGGAGCCCTCTGCACCAGTTGTCAGTGGCATGGGGGATGTGTGTGTGTTTGGGGGGGGGGGGGGGGGGGGGTCATTTTGTGTTACATAATTGTAAGAAAACCTTTCACCTGGAGGCCACATTTGGAAGTTGTTGTGGATGGTGGATTTTTTTAAATGCAGTTATCATTTCATTTCAATTGGCAATTTTGTGAACGTGCAGTGTAAACAAGCCCCAAACGTTGAGTGTAAACAGAACAATAGGACAAACGGCTACATGTGTGATAGCTTCATCCATGAAAGTCCTTTTCGCAGTTGAGACAGGTGTGTGATAGTGGAGGATGATGGGAGTCCTGGGTGAAGAGAGGGCTTGTGGTCGTTAGAGGCTGCATGGTGCTTCTGGTAGAGAGTGGCTTTGATGATATTGACACAGGCAGCGGGAGGCGGACACACTGGAACTTAACATTTGGTTATGGAAACATGATGACCTTCCTTTTATTAACAGTATTATTTGCAGCAGATAGTGTCCACTTATCAGCAAACCCAGTCCATTCCACCTGAGGCAGCTGAATCAGGGCTTCCACTCTGGGAAAAAGAAGCCATTGTCTATTTTAGCTTTCTGTTATATTAATACATTTAAATCTATAGTAAAGGGTTCCTTGGATATTCGTTTGCTCTTCATAATCCATGGATTATTATTTCACCTTACAATTTTAGCAGTGTCCCTCTTTAGTCAGGCTCATTAGAGCAAACAAAAACATTCTGAAAATAAACAATATGAAAAAATACATATATTTAGTGAATTGAACAGACACATACACATACTATTGTTGTTTTCCAGGAGGGCATGATTGTCTTTTTGGAAGCTCTGATAATTTTTATCCTCTGAAAAACTGAGTTCTGCCAGGATGTATACACTTATGATCCTCTGTAAAACAGGATTATAACACAAGCACTAATTGACTTGCACCTGTGTTGGTGGTGTGTGCACGAGAGAGGGATTGGTGGTTGTTTGAGGTGGGTTGGTTTATGATTGACATGTGAGGATTTATATCATAGGCTTTTCTTGCTTTGTGATGTGCCACAGAATTTGGTAATATACTGGCTTTCCCTATATGGACCACATTCGTGTTCGTTTGAGTGGGATTCAAATCCGTCACAATCCATAAATCCTAAGTCTTAATTTCTTATGTTTACTTGTTTATGCCTGTATAGATGCTGGAGCCTATTTTTATTTTTCTCTAAAGCTGTAATTAAATCCAGCTGAAAGAGCAAGACCCCTCTGTGGAACCTTAGAGAGACACCTATAAATAAATGGACAACTCTCCTTCAACACTTGCCTATATGGCAAATGGAATGATTAGCTCATGGCAAGAGCCCTCTGATCTTACAGTGTTTAGCCAGAACTATTTTCTGTCTGTGCACAGCGTAGCTCACAGACTGGGTCAGGAATAGGGTCCCTGAGGACGCTACAAATTCTGGTCAGTATATGCCTTGCACAAATGTGTGCGTGTTGCATCAGTATATTGACCAATCATTCACACAAACAAATACATTTCAATTTGGAAGTCAAGACACTGGATCCATTGCAATTACTACTTTTAAATGAAGTATGAAGGATGAAGAAGGCGACTTCTGCCTACACCCCTTTATTTTGCAAAATTGTCAATTCTCTATGTGAACTTGTTGTTGACATTTTTAACAAATGACAAAATAAATAATTTGACACTCACTGCATTAGACACTAACACTGGGTCCTGGAGAACTCAGACAGTGCTTAAAACCAATGAGCTACTGTATGTTCCACTGACCTCTCGGAGGTCTCAGAGTGCGGGTGAGCGGTGAGGGTCTATTTACTCCCAGCGGTCTGCTCCAGTCTCCTGGTGATTAAACAGCTGTTGAACCTGGTTATTTTCTTATTCTAAAGAATAACATCTTTGGAAACATGCTGGGGCCTCTAATGAGTTGATTATCACATGTCTATGGGGTTTCAGTTCATAATCAGTTTATTTATTTAGAGCTTTGTATGTATTTTATTCAATGGTTGCTCTTAAAAAGTAGAAACATACATATACTGTGGGTGGGCACAGACTGTATCATCACAAACCAGACTCGAATTTGGCCTCTGCCTGCATCATTTCCATGGGAATATTTTGACCTTATATGTACCATCTACATAATTAAGGAAAAGCAAAACAAGAGCACGTGGGAGACGTGTGAATCTGTTGACACACATTGTGCGCTCCATTGGTCTAGAGGCCGCTCTACCCAGAGCATTTGTGGCTTAAGTGATGGAACTGTGCCTCTTGGCGGAGGTATGTGCTCGAGGAGTGCTTTTCTAGTTATACATGACATATAATATAATTACATCATTCTCGCAGCATGTGATTAATTGCCGCTTATATGAAGTTGGCTCATAAGTACAGTAGTGGGTTGTATGGGTCCCAGAACGACAAGTTGAGAAACATTGGTGTCGCATAGATTTACTAGAAGAGTCACGTGTTCTTTATTGCCTTACATATCCAGCGTGTACAAGGCAGGTCAGCTGCTTTGGCTGTTTGCTAAAGAGAAGGTCATGGGGTAAGTTGACTGGAGGAGTGGGGTAGTGGGTTGTCTCCAATTACTACCACAGCTCAGACAGCCTCCTTTTCTCTTTTTAAATCTTCTGTATTGTTATATCTGCAGGCTTACAACCATTTCTGAGTGGAATAATATGATTAGGTTTCAACATGTTTGTAGATCAGGGGCCTCCAACCTTTTTCAATCGGACAGC